GGACTGCCCCCAAGCGATGGTACCTGACCTGCTAAATCCAGCTTGACTGGGGCCAGCACTGGCTTTGAGCACTCCAGGGCTTTGGACGCAGAAAGCACCAGTTTGCTTTGTTTATTGAAGGCTGCCATGAGGCCTATGCGTCTCCTACAGTCTCTACATTGGTCTGCTGGGGCCCTGGCACTTAACTCAATGACAGGAAGCACAGCACAGGCCTGAAACAGGATGGCAGGACTGGTCCTCTTTTGGGCACCCTGATGGCCATATCATGTGGGCAGCTTCCCAGCTCTGCAGTGCCTCCTCCTCCCTGTCATGTCCTAGGCTCAGCTCAGCCTCATCTCTGTGGCAAAGCCATCCTAAGCATATGCTCTGAGGAAGAATTATAGCCTTGTTAAATTCCTTCAGCACTGGGTCATGATGCAGTAGTTACCTGATTTAAGTCTTGCCTTCCCCACAAGGCACGCTCATTTAGTAAAGATCTACAGTGTGCAAGGTACTAAGGTAAAGAATCCAAACAAACACGGTTCCCTTCCCTAAAGTGGTCATGTGTATTGGAGGAGACAGGAATATGAACAGGAATGGTCAGGAGACTGAACAGTTAGACTGGATCACTAAGGATGAGAGGACAGGAGAAATGTGACACAGAGGCAGACACCATGGCTTATTCCACCAGGGCAAATTGCCCTCTGTTGCCAGGGCCAAATGGAGTGAAGGGGCGAATGCAGTGGGAAGCGCAAGGGTTGACAGGACGATACGGAACTGTTCTGTGTGACACTGAACAGGGGAGACAGGGTAAGTTAGAAAAGGGCCTGGACAATTGTGTGGAGACCAACACCAGCTTGACAGTGAGACTGAGGCAGGGGTCCACTAGGAGTTTGCCTAATAGATGAGGAGGCACTCGGGGGAACATCTGAGTACAGATGGCAGGATTTGCTGAGCAACGTGCCATGGTGTTAAGAAAAGAGTTTAGGATGGGTTCTGGATTCATTCCCCCTTGGGAGAGTGTAGAACCGTTAACAGAGGGCAGGCACCTAGCAACGAGGCAATGGGGCTCTTCTCTGGGACCCTGTGAAGGTGTAGAAATGTGGCCTGATGACAACCCAACACCAATTGCCTCATACAGTCTGGACAGAGCTGGCTGGAGTCATTTTTTGCTCTGTAAAGATCTTGTGCCCTCCACTTTACCCCCTGGATCTCTGTGGATTCTCAATCAAGCTTCTGCTTCCAGCGAACCAGTTCTACTTACAGGTCATTTGCACTCATGGTCCCTCTGTCGTGCTGGCCAGAGGCTCTTTCCTGTTTGGGGAGTGACTCATTGCTCATGCTTATGCATGGAGCAGCTGTCTTACAGGACCTGGGGAGCCGGATAGGTTGACTTCATAGAAGTGGAAGTGGCATTAGGCCACCTCTTAGGTCTCGTTTTAAAAAGTTCTTTGGGATAACTCAAGGCCAGCCATTTCTCCCCCAGCAAACCCCCATTCTCCCCACCCCCAATTATTTCAGGAACTTCCAAATTCTTTTTCTGAAGGGCAGCAAGCACTCCTTCTAAACTTCCCTGGATTCAGATCTAGGTCACTTTCATTTCCCAAATCCATGGAGTTCTTAGTAAAGGGGCCTCCTGACTCAAACATTATTTGCTAGGCTTAAGGGCAACTGTAGTTTTAAATAGCATTTTATTCCAACATTATGTAGCTTGAAGAATTTAAACTATTTCCCTTCAACTACTATCTCCCACCTCTTCCCCCAGTACTCCTGAGGCTTCTTCTTTGGTTAAGAGCTTGGCACTTGCTGCTAGGGCCTTTTGTCTGTGGTCAGGGGTAGCCCTTCACTGTTTCCTGCTCATCCATGTCCTGCCCAAGCCCCCCATTACCATGGCGTTTCTCCTGATGGTGCTTCCTCCCCAGGCAGATGGACTGGGGAGGCACTTCTTGTCTTTACTGCTCGCCTTAGAACCAACCATGGACAACCTTGTGTGAATCCCCAGCACCAAGTGAGTTGTTGGGGTATCAGCATCCCCTAGGACTCTGCCAGCACTGGTTATCTTTCAAGCTCACTCCAGAATACCAATGGGGCAGAGCTGCTGGTATGGGAGGGTCCTGGCACCTAAACACTAGGGACTGACTGGGCTCCCTGCAAGGGTGGGGAGGGGTGTGGGGAACCTTTCAATCCCTGCAGACCAAGTCCCCAGGACTGTTTGTCCACTCATCTAAGAGACAAACATCTGTTATCGTCAGAGGTGTCCCCAGCACTAGGTATTCACAAAGGAGTGAGGATTCTGTCGAAAAACTCAACAGATCTGACACTGCAAAGCATGCCAAGAGCTCCTCCTAGGGATGCCGAAGGAGCAGCACACATGGCACTGTGGAGGCAGTGTTTTACAAGTAGCCTTTTGTGGTTAGAGCAGCAGGCACTCCAGGTGACTATTTGTCTGTCTGGACCTGAAGGCAGTGGCAGGCAAGCATCTCTGCGCTCAGACTTCATCTTGAAGCCAGTGGGGCACCAGTAATGGGAATGATGGGATCGGGGTTTCCTAGAGAATGGATGGGCTGGCAGCAGAGCAGGTGGCCACAGGGTAGAGGGACACTACATTGTGTCTAGGCCTCGCTCTACTGCAAGCTCACAGATGGCAGGATGCTTGTAGCTGCCGAGGTCTCCACAACTCTGTGAAGAATCTGAGTGAATGCAGTGACCAGGCAGCCCGGTGAAGGGAACCTCCCAGGAGACCTGTGCCACTAGCACAGGTGGCGAGCATGCTGCTGTTAACAGAATGAGCCCTGTAGAGGCTCCTCCCATTCCTTAGGCTGCTCGGTCTTCACAGGGCAGCGACAATGGAGTGGGGAAGGGACAGGACTCATCTTTGGGGCTGGTGGATGGTCAGATACCCCATGACTCATCTGCTACCCCCTCTCTGGAGCGCCTCTTAGAACACCTGGCTTTAAGAGTTGTGAAGACCAAGGGGGAGGTCAATTAAGAGGCTGGGGAACAGGGGCCCTGAAGTTATTTTCAGGAAAATAACTCTCTGACAAGTTTGATTGGATTAAAAAAGTGTATTGGATTTCCAATACTAAATAAAAACATGAAACCGTTCTTAAAAAGCCATAGAGTTTACAGCATCAACTACAGCAAAGGCCAAACAAGCGTGTACACAGCCCAGCCCCAGCAGTCATCCAGACCCCTCTGGCAGGCAGCAAGGGAGCTGACACATTTGCCCCACGTCCTCCAGAAGGAAGCTGTGCACAGCAGCCCAATTAGGACATGACAAGACGTACGATGGCTTAGTTTCAAAAGTCACAGGAAAATGTAAGAAAATGTATTAAATTGTGAAAAGGTGCAATACAGAATAGCTTTCCTTTTTCTTAATTAAAAAAAATCCCCCAACTTTGAAGTTATTTTATTTAAAAAATAGGTCCCCACCCCGCCCCAATTCTGTGGCAGTATCCAGGTACCAAGGCCCTGAGGTAACAGAAGTGTCAGAGTTCACAGGAGGGAATGCCCTAAATGCTGAGCATGCTCTTTGGGCTAAAGGTGAGTGTGTGTGGAAATCTGCTCTTCTCAGCATCAGTTGAAGTGCCTGCTTCCCAGAACCCTGCTGGCACCATCCCGCGTCCAGCGAGCAGAGAGAGTTCCAGCACCGCGCTTCTCACTGCCCCCCAGAACGTAAATACAGAGCTCATCCTGCAGAACGCAAATGTTTGGTAAGACCTCAGGAGGGGAAGTGAGCCGTGGACAGCGCTCAGGGTCCTGGGAGGGCTGGGCCACCCACTGTAGTCTGAGCAGTCTTACTGGCTACAGAAGCCAGGCCTGCTTCACCTCCTTTGCTGTCTTCTGCGGATGTGTTGGGGGGAGTAGAAGATGCCTGAGGGTCAGTCTTGTATTTTTTATTATACAGTATTAATATTAAGAAAAATAAGCACATACCCCAGCTTACCTTTTTAAGGAAAAGACCACAAGAACTCTGCAAAGGCAAAGGCCGAGCCCTTGGCATGTCTTGAACCTCCTGCCACCTTTGTCCTCATTGGGGTTTGGTTGAGCTGAAAGGAGGGAGGGGCAGCTACCTCTCCTCAGCCTCTCCTCTGGCCCTGTCCCCTGCTACTTAAAGAACTGTGTTTAGAAAGTGTGGGAAGTCTCAGGGGCACTGCAGCCTCCTTGACAATGCTTTTTTTTTTTTTTGAAGGGGCAATGTGGCAGTGATAGCTGGCCTGGCTGAGGACAGGCACCAGAGAAGCAGGAGTCCTATGTGGAACAACCTCCCCAAAGAGAACCACTGCCACAGCAGAAAAGGGCCCCACCCTGAGCTGTTTGACTTTGAGGAATAGGGTCAGGCTCTTGCTCTGCGTGGCATCACTTCTGCAATTAGAAACAGCCCTTGGGGCCTCAGCACTGACACTCCCAAGACCCCAGGGCAGCTAAAGCCTCAAACCCACCTATTGCACAGAATTTTTAACCAGATTCAAACGAAACTCCAGTTGCAATGTAGTGACAGTAGGATGGACATGCCAGGAAAGGACAATAAAGATGCTTCCATTCTCTGCAGGCTTCTGGAAGAAAGTACAATGACGGAAACATTCACAGGGCCTCAGCAGCCCTCCATTTCGTATTCCCAACCCCCAACCCCCACCCCAAATACTGAATCTGCACAGAAAGCAACAAACAACTCTTTTCAATGTTACATTTCATTCAGATAGATCTGTAATCTCACAGTGATGAGAGGAGAGTGTCAGGCCTTTAATAATTATAATAAAAAAATAATAAAAAAGCTTACAAACAGCGATGCAACATTTCCTCTCCCTCAAAGTGATGGAATAACAGCTGGCAGAGGATGCAATGTCTCAGAATTAAAAAATAAAAACAAAACCAGAAACAAGCCAACTCCCAGAGCAACCCACACTGTCAATGACTTTCCATATGTGACTGGAACAAGCAGTCAAATGTCAACTACTTGTTGAGAACACCACAGACTTCCTTGGTTGTTGATAGTGTTTTTTTTTTTTTTTAAGGTAAAATAAAATAGGACACAAATAAAATTGTCCATAAATGCCAATGTCTACACTCCATAAACGTGATGCAGCTACAGCATGAAGACACAGCCTGACCAAAGTGAAATGCAGGTTGCACTTCTCGCCTCTTCCCTGGACACAAAATTTTGGCCCATGGTGCCCAGTCCTGCAGGTTATCAGCAGGCAAAGGGAAGCTGCCCAACATGGGTATCCTCCAGGATGACCAGGAGAAGGCAGGTGGCCATGCCTGGAGTGGCCCGTGCAGCGGTGATGGCTGGTCTGCTGGCTCACTGTGCTCTCAAGTGCTGTCCTCTCGTACTCTGTACAATTCCTTGTTTTCAAGGCTAAGTTCCAAGACTTCTGGACTCAGGTTTGGAGTCGTGTCCTGGTGAAGGTCATCACGCTGTTGTGATGGCATTTAGGTCCTTCATTAGTCCTTCCAGGTGGGCCATCTCTTTGGTCAGCTCATCTGGTTCATAGCTCTACAGAAAGGAGAACACTGTTACTGGGCATGACCCAAGGAGCTGTCTAGGAAGGAGAGACCAGAGGAGAGATCAGAGAATCAAGTTGCCAGTGATCAAACTACTCTGGAAGGCTGGCCTACTAAACCCAGGCTGGCTGAGAAGCCAGAGGTAGCAAGATGCACCCAATGCCACTAAGATGTCACTTGTTGACACCGTACAATGCCTTTGTCCCAACACACAATTCCTAGGTCATAATCTCACAAGCCAGAGGCCCTACTGCTTGCCCCTTCTAGGTCTCTGCCACAGCAAGACAGTTAGAATGCCCCTGGTCTCTGGGCCCAAGTTTCTTCGTGGAGAATCCTGTACCTGAAAATGCAGAGGCAGATATATTATTGGGACTAGGAAAGACCAGGGGAGCTTGTTTTGAGAGCAATCTCTCAAGCACCTCTTCCTTTAGCATCCTTAGAAAAGGTCATGGAGAGAAACAGAGGGATGAAAAAACACATGCATGGTCATGGCAGGAAGACAGGACCAGGCAGAAGACAGAACTGAGGAAGATAAGGAGGAGGCGGGGGGGGGGGTGGTGTGTGTGTGTGTGTAGCTGGGCTGATGTGATAACTTAATTAAGATATGTGTGTGTGTGTGTAGCTGGGCTGATGTGATAATTTAATTAAGATATACCAGAGTGGGCACGAAAGAGAAAGCAGACCAAATCCTCAGCACATTCCTGGCTCGGAGGAGTTGCTCAAAACACACCCATTGAACAGGTAAGTGAATCTGCTTCATGGTCTGGTGGTAAGGCCTGAGCCTGCATGGCATATCAGCTCAGCCGGTGTGCTTGCAGGCCCTGGGATGCACACCTGGATATCCCGGCTAGGCTGATGGCCCATGGACTTACACTCTCGGGAGTCTTCCAGCATCCTCGTGGTCTCCTGCACTTCCGGGGCACTGGGAACAACCACTGGCATAGGAGGCCGGCTCCTTCCTAAAGTCCCAATGGAGGCTGTCTTCACTGAGTGAATGTGATGATTCAGAGCTGAGGGGAAAGGGCACTGTCAGGTTGTGGCCAAGGCTGCACCCTAGACCTCATGAAGAACCCAAGGTTTAAATGCTGCTTCAAGGTGAGGATGCACACAGGCCCAGTGCAGGGATCCTGCTCTGAAAAGCTTACTAGAGCAAGAGAGGAAGAGGGAGGTAGCAGGGCATTCGAGAGGCCAAAGAAAACATTTCATGGACTCCAGAAAATTAATATCTCAGGAGGAGGCGGGGGGGGGGGTGTGGGTGTGTGTGTGTGTGTGTGTGTGTGTGTGTGTGTGTGTGTGTAGCTGGGCTGATGTGATAACTTAATTAAGATATGTGTGTGTGTGTGTAGCTGGGCTGATGTGATAATTTAATTAAGATATACCAGAGTGGGCACGAAAGAGAAAGCAGACCAAATCCTCAGCACATTCCTGGCTCGGAGGAGTTGCTCAAAACACACCCATTGAACAGGTAAGTGAATCTGCTTCATGGTCTGGTGGTAAGGCCTGAGCCTGCATGGCATATCAGCTCAGCCGGTGTGCTTGCAGGCCCTGGGATGCACACCTGGATATCCCGGCTAGGCTGATGGCCCATGGACTTACACTCTCGGAGTCTTCCAGCATCCTCGTGGTCTCCTGCACTTCCGGGGCACTGGGAACAACCACTGGCATAGGAGGCCGGCTCCTTCCTAAAGTCCCAATGGAGGCTGTCTTCACTGAGTGAATGTGATGATTCAGAGCTGAGGGGGAAAGGGCACTGTCAGGTTGTGGCCAAGGCTGCACCCTAGACCTCATGAAGAACCCAAGGTTTAAATGCTGCTTCAAGGTGAAGGATGCACACAGGCCCAGTGCAGGGATCCTGCTCTGAAAAGTTACTAGAGCAAGAGAGGAAGAGGGAGGTAGCAGGGCATTCGAGAGGCCAAAGAAAACATTTCATGGACTCCAGAAAATTAATATCTCCAAGTGTAGTGGTTCATGGATCCCTTACAGAAAGCCTGGGAGGTCAGAGTTCTCTTCAGCCACCTATGGCATCACTGCCTTTTCACTGTGATGCATTTGCCCCGAGGCCACAAAATACAGAGCCTTAGCACAAAGGAAGGCACCAAGCTATGAAGTCACTCACTGATAGGCTCCTGCAATTAAAAAAAAGCCAAGGCTCATATCACTTTAATTTAAGGAAAAAAATGGACGTGTTTATTGCCAATGTTGAGTTTTAAGTGAGAAGTAGAATTGAAAAAACTTGTACCTATCACCTGAGCTTGACAGTATGTCTTTTTTTAAAAAAAATTGTATTATTGTTGTGCTGGGGGTACACTGTGACATTTACAAAAGTGCTTCAGTATGTCTTAAATTCTCCCCCTCCATCATTCTCCTTTATTTCCCCTCCCCACAATCTCAGAATACTTTCAACAGTTCTCATTTTTTCCATTTAACATGAGTACATATTTCCACCATATTCTCTCTCTGTCTCTCTCTCTATATATTACCAATCAATCATTTTCATTGCTAGGGACGGAACCCTGCAGGCAAGCGCTCTACTTCTGCACTATATCCCTATCCCTTTTAATGGTTCTTAATACTTATATACTTTGGTGACATTAATGAATGTATTTAGATGCTGAATAACGAAATGCATCAATATTTGGTAAGTTAGTGAAGTGACAAATGTGTGATGTTTCAGTGCATCAATAGATTCTAATGGAACACTAGTTCATGGATACAGTTTTAGATTCCACATTATAAACAAACCTTTTAGAAACTACAGCTTGGTGAATTTTGCTATAATAGCAAAAAAGAATATCCAGGCTGGGTGTGGTGGAACATGCCTATAATTCCAGCACATGGGAGGCTGAGGCAGAAGGACTATAAACTCGGGGACAGGCTGTGTTGTACAGCAAGACCCTGTCTCAAAAAATAAAACAAAACCAACCAACCAATCCTCTCCCAAAACCAAAACAAGAAAAGAAAGAGAATGTCTGTAAGTATCTGAAATGGTAATAAAAATACTCTTCCTTTTGCCAACTATAGATCTGTGAGGCCTGATTTTCTTATATTTTAACCAAAAGACACATTGCAACAGTCTGGATGGAAAGCAGATATGAGAATCGAGCTGTCTTCCATCAAGCTAGATATTAGAGAAAATATGACAATAACATTTCTTTTCACTGTATGCTTTGAAAAAGTTATTTTCATAAAAATATGCTATATATCCTAATAGGATAGACTTGTTGCTATTTTTAAATGAATTAATGATTAATTATTTTAAAAGTTCTGGGTTTTAATTTCTAATATGGTAAATACTGATATGTGGAAAAAGATTCTCTTGTGTTCTTGATAGCTTTTGAGACATAAAGAGGCCCTGAGACCGAAAAGTATGAGAACTACAAACTTACTCTGAAACAAACCATCAAACTGTCAATGATGTGGAAGAGTAGGAAAAAGGGGGCCAAGTCTGTGATTGAGGTGTGTGAAGTCCGGTACCCTTCTGCAGGGTTCCTCTCTCTGTCCCTGGGTTCCTCTGGTTTCCAGTCCTGGCCTTTCTGACACTTCTCTAGCTTGTAGGCAACTTAGGGAGTAAGGCGGCAATAGAGGTCTGAGAAGACTAGATCTGTCACCCAAACCCATGTCACTGGGTTTACCACCAAGGAATCTGCAGGTAAACCACAACTCAAAAGGTCAGCCCTTGTTCTCCAAAACATTATACCCTGGTCTGCAAGTATTCCCAAAGGAGAGAGGCTCATATACTCTCTGAGTGGGACAATGACACCCTGTCACTCTAAGTTGCTAGGGAAGGCTTGAAGGATCTTTGCTGTCATTCTCCAAGCCTGAATCCAGGTCCCTCTAGTGGTGCTGCTGTCCCCACTCACCTTGCTGGGACAGTAATGGTGTGCTTGGCAATGCAGGATCGTAGGTAGGAGGTCCTGGGGGTGGGACTGCTGGCACAGCAAAGCTCTTCAGTGGGTGGGAAGGGCGAACGTGGGCTGTGGGAAGGCTCTGGCCTGAATCTTCCTCTTGGGAGCTGGCCAGGTAGGAGGAGCTGGTAGCACCTTCAGGATCCTGGTGATCAGTACAGCACGTTTGAGAGGAGGAGGCTGGCATGGTGTCAGTGCTGGGGGTATTTCGAACGGATTCTACAGCAGGAAAGTCTAAATGTTAGCATCTCTTTTACTACTATAACATGGGAAGAGTTTTGGCTACTTCTAGGGGTCCCCTAAACCAGTTCAGTAAGCACTTACAATCAGTGCTAGTCCAAGAGAACATGATTGGCACCACTGCCAATAGATACGAATGGATTAACCTAAGAGTCCCAAACAATCCTGACCTCAATCAGCTGTTCCATTTTTTTCACCTACACAGCTAAATGGTCACAATTTTATAGCTTTAAAGTACGCATTATGGAGCACATGTGACTACAGACTAGTGTTTATTAAGGTATAATCAAGAGGCCCCTGGTGGCTACTGCAGGGAAGGCCAATGCTCAGGTGAGAGTTTTGCACAGTTTTAAGATCATGCCAAGTGTGGGGTGTTCTGGTCTACAAAAAGAAATCAGGGTGGGTTAGCCTGGAGAAGGGAAGACTCAGGAAGAACATGGTAACAGTCTCAGAACACGTCAAGAGGGCAGAATGATCCTGCAGGCAGCATGGTGGGGCGGAAACAGCACAGCTCAGGAGTCAGAGACACCTGCAGTCTGGTCTTGGCAGATCAGATGGGTGAATCTGGCAAAGTCATCAAATCTCTTCATCTACAGAACAGGGAGACAGCCCGTAATTCATTGAGGATTAAATGAAATGTATGAAGAGAGCTGAATATAGAGCCTGAACAGAGCAGGCTCTTTGCTTCATAGCTCATGGAATACTTATTCACACCAGGCATGTGCTAGCTGCTTTCCATTCATTAGTTCATCTTTTCCTCAGAGAACTGGGAAGCCAACGCAGCAAGTCACTCACAGACAGTTAGAACCAGCGGGCGGAATCGGAATCCCTGAATGACTCTACACCCAGGCTCTGATGCCACATATTGTCTTTTCCTGCCCATGCCTCCTGTCCTCAACCTCCTTCCTTGTAGGGCACAAGCAGTACCAAGGCTGGGGGACTGTCTGAGGAAGGCTTTCACAGTGTGAGTGGGCAGACTGGCAAGAGAGGTTAAGAGGACACCAGTTTGGGCAACAGACTGCACCACATAGCCAGAAAACCTTTGACTCTTAGAGTCCTCAACCTCAAAATTAATCTGTGAGCAATCTGCAGAAATCCAACTTACTTGCTTGCCTTTGTGAGGAAGCAATGACTCTGCTCCTTGGGCTCTGAGAAGACAGGCCATGGGTGCTACCTTCTTAGATTATTAAAGGTCTTGGGTCCCAGGGATGAGGGATGAACAAGCCCTTTCCAACGTGTCTGGCTATCATAACCCTCCAGGGCTGGGCCATTTCTCATCCTCTGAAAAGGTGTGCTGAGGATATCACTTCCTGGCTTGTCACATCATCATGGCTGGGAGCTGCAGGTCACTGTCTGTGTAGTCCTGGCTCAGGGAAGTAGGGAGGATAAGAGAAGGAAGTGGGCTCAAATCCTGACCACATCAGCAGGTACTGGTCAGCTCTGGGAACAAAGGCCTATTCTGTCTCAACTGCTTTTAACTAAGAGCTGACAGGCAGACCAGGGCTGCCCTGCATACTCTGGAAGGCAGTAGGCACACTGTATTCTGCATGCGGGCTGCATGCGGGCTGCTTCCTGACACTGTGCAACACTGGTCTATATAGACATGGGGCTATGGCTAACATGTCTGCTTTAGTGAGGAGCCTAACTCCTGACTTCACTCTGAGTTAGGACACACAAAGTTCACAGTGGCCAAGTGATGTACTGTTCTTGTGTCAAGTGGGAGTTGCACAGTAAATGCCCCAGAGCAGGGACTGCCTGGCTAGGCTTGAGTCCTGCCTAGCCCCATGTCCAGAGCTGGGCAACACTCTGAACTCTAGATACAAAAGCTTGGCGAAATGCAAGAGCAGGAGATTTTGGACCATTTTGTTACAAGCTCTACTTTTCAAATTGATCTCCAATCAATCTAGTTTCACCTTCCTCAATCTGTCTGGTCAAGAAAGCAAGGAATCCTTTAGTAATGCAAATCATTACCTTCCCCCCTTTCCTTCACTTTCTGCCCCAGTTCACATAGAAGCGAACTTGGAGGAGGGCTTAGTGGGACCTACCATGTTTTTCTCCAACCCCAGGCCCCTCCTAGTACAGGATGAGGGAGAAGAGGTTTAACGTGACTGAGAACTTGCCATCCACTCAGGCACACCCACATCTGAGTGTGTGGGATTCCTACAAATGGAGGAGCAGGGTTTGGCACAAAACTTTTTTTTTTTTTTTTGCAGTACTAGGATTTGAACTCAGACCCTTGTGCTTGCTAGGCAGGTCCCTGCCTCCTTCTAAGAGCAGGATTGCAGGGCTGCTCTTGGTGCTCTGTTCTATATGGGATATGTCTGTGAGGCAGACTTTGATTCTCCATGCAGCCAGATGGAATAATGTCTGCCCTGCAGACCATCTTTCTAAAGACAGAACCTCAATCTGTTCTTGGAAGGAAATAATAGGAAGATCAAGTTTAGACATGGGTTCTAGCAGCACTCTCCAAACCAGGTAACAGCTTTGGGACCAGATAATGTTAAAAGTTATTAGGCATCCCTCAATAAAGCTTCCATCTTCATGGGCATATTTGTGAGTGATCAAAACTGAAAGAGAAGGGAATGTTACTGGCACCCTAAACTTCTAAACAAGAAGTTTTGAGGTTCTTTTAAAACGGAGCTCACGTGAAACTTCCTTATTTCCCAGAATCACCAACACTTACTTCTACAAGTAAAAACTATTAACAGGCAAGTTTCCAACAATGGGAGAATAGTATACTATACATACAATTTACTAGATTTGCAGTTTAAAACTGAAACTAATTTGCAATTCCTGAGGAGCAATAAAATTTATTCCTCCTAAAGGTGTTTGGCACTGCTGTGTAAGATTCCCAAATGGGGACATGGCTGCTGAGCAATGCATTTCTTTAGATATACTAACTTGCTATGTTAATGTTCTATCAATTTTTAAGAGACTGTACCTCTTCCCAATTTTCACAACCCATTAGGCAACTTGAGGTTTACAGTAAGCACAAGTTCTATGTGGCTGGGAACACCACTGTCTCCTGGATGTTGTTCATACTTTGGTCCATAGGGAAGTAACCTGCACCTCATGGCTGCCCTATGGACCCTCCCAACATTAGGGTCACTTCCAGGCAAAGGCAGCTATTGGTGTCTGGAAACTACCCAGAATGAAGTTTCCTTTCAAATCAGAGGATTAAAAAAAATACACAAGTTAGAAAAAAAAATGACAATTCAGATGCAAGTTTTATGGAGTAAGACATGCTTATGTGAGTTATTGCTGTTTTTACTAAAAATGACATCTTGCACTAAAATGTAGGGAGGAAAATGGGTGAATTTCACAGAAATAAGTTTGAGTCTGTCACAGAAATGCCATGATCAATAAATAACAGTGAAGAATTCTCAGTAGGGCAGGTCCTTCCCCATTTCCGCCTGCCAACTCTTGCAAATGCTTTCCATGTGGGCTCGATCCTCGTCTCTCACCTGTGGAATTGGCCCTGTCTGAAAGGGACAAGGATGTGCCAATGGGCCATGGGCTGCCCGGGTGGTAGAGATGACTGCGGGCTGGAGAGGCGAGGCTGCTGGAGTGGAAATGATGGTGAGGGTTATCGAGGGAATGGATGGGGTGGGCACTAATCACAGCTGTGAATGAACACAAGACAGAGAAACGCTTAACATGCTTGCACAGACACACAGTCACCCCTTCCCCGCCGCCCTCCCCCACCCCGCCCTATATAACCCAATCACTTTTGGTGACAGCTGGCTGGACTTTGGGGAAGGCCACTGACTTTAGATTTAACAAATAAACACACTCCTATGCGTATTCTATGTATGTACAGAGTAAAAAAAAAGTCTGAGGATGTATAATGAAATACTGACAGTAATTGTTTTGCAGGGAAGAATGATCAGGATTAAAAGAATATTTTCCTTTTGGCTTATCTGTATTTTCCAATTCTTCTATTATAAACATGCATTATACAAGTTATTAAAAACATCAATTTGAATGTCACAAAATATAAACCCATAAGCAAACAAATGGCCTAGGTTTCTATGATTATTTTTGATCTGCTAAAGGAGCAGGAGTTCCTTCTTTGAATATAGTCCTAATTTATTCTGTCCTTTTATTTGCCAAAAGAGGAAATAATGGGTAAATGAGTAGCTATTTAATCAATTTTTGTATCTTAAAGGAATGCAAATGAAACTGGATTGATGGTCAATCTAGTGCTAAGAGCATGAACTAAGGCCCTGGTACCATTTCTTACTGCTTCCCGTTTAGGGTTTAGCCACACCTCTTGGCATTTTAAAATATAAGTGATCTTTCCTAATTTCTTCTTTCCTTCCTTCACTGACTGAGTATTAAATATATTACATTTAGCTATAGAATCCCAAGTTCCACACAGAGATTCCACATACAACTTTCTGTGACATCTATGTAATGAAACTTCATGTTCCATCTCAGAGATGTACACAAAGGAACAAATCCAGAAGACTAGACAGAGTTAGGGAAGAATTTTTTTCTTAGGTATTCCTTAGAGCAGCTGTAGAGACAAAAATGTTTAAAATCAAGATAACCAGCTCTCAACCCCCAAATAGGTAGGGCAGACTAGGAACACAGGGGATCTTTTTTTCCTCTAAGGAAGGGCTTCATGAATTTTATAGTAAAAAATCAGCTTTTTGGAGCTTATTAAAATGTCTTTTTGTTACGAGGGATCTCCCTAGTCTTTGTGAGACCATTCAGCATGACTTTGATGAAGAGAAATCCCAGACAGTGAAATGGATGCCTTCATTCTGCAGCTGGGAAGGTTCTAGGAGGTCCTCAACAATAAAACACAACCAGAAAAGTTGCTAAGGAGGGTTTCTCAGGCATCTCTTCTAAGGGGAAGACAGGGAGTTTTAGCTTCAGAAATAGCATTTTCCAAATTCAGACCCAGGTGAGGGGAAAACCCCGATTTTGACCTAGGAAGTGCAATCTAAAGCACATTCGTAATACTGTGAGTGTGGTGAGGGGACAGAGCTGCATGGTCGGAGTTACACAGAGAGGGTGCCATGGTGCAACTCTTTGCAGGCAGAGCATTCATGCCTAGTGACATCTCATCAGAGATGGCTGAGTATTTCCTCAAGTGGAAGCCCCACATTGCCAGTTAGTAGGAAAAAACTTCTCTAGCTTAAACACAAAGACCAGGGAGTAGTTTGAAAAAAGAATTTATTTGCCACATTGCCTTTTTTTTTTTTTTTTTTTTTGAGAAAGGGTCTTGCTATGTACCTCATGTAGACCTGGAACTCGCTATGTGACCCAGGTTGGTCATGAACTCTCAATCCTCCTGCTCTAGTCTCCCAAGTGCTGGAATTACAGGTGTGTACTACTATGCCTGGCACTTTTTAATTTTTATGATATTTAACCTATTTTGAATTTCAACTATTATCAAAAGGAGGCTCAGTAACATTCATACTTATTGAAATGAGGTATAGGTCAAAAGGCATTAAAAAATGTTGGTTCAAAAATTCCATGCTGTAAACCTTAAACAACTCTAAAATATAAAGTGTACCGATTAAACTTCTGTTGGTGCTCATAAACACTGCCTACGTGTGTCAGAAAGCTGAGGGACACGGGTGACATTTGGCAAGTTCAGTCCTAGTCTCAAGGGATGCTTCCCCATGTCTCCTGTGGACATGGTGTGCACTTTTGGGAGAACAGGTACTTTCCTATTCCTGGTGGATTGCAGAAATTGGCTTTAAAGTTTATTCACCCTTAACTTAAAGATGCTAAGATCTCTCAAGAATGGTATTTATTGCAAAATATGGCAGTGTTTGCTATTTCTTCCTTCAATGAATCACAACTTTGATAGATTATTGTGTTGAGACCAAAGAGATCATTCATGTTGTTCCCCACCAACAAAGAACAAACCAGCAGCATTGGGGAAAGAAGCTTTTACTTACGCTGGGGTGGCTGAGAGTCAAAGGGCATCATCATTTTTGGCCTCATTCCCCGCCTTCCAGCCAGTGTAGACATGCTGTCCTCTGATTCATGCCCTAGACATCAAATAGGTTAATTACAATCATGTGCCCTAGGTCACTGAGTAGCCTCAACAGTAAAACATTTCTAGTGGGGGATTTGGGACTCATAAACAAAGCAATGGGGACAAGGCATTTCTGCATCAGAGCAGGAATCTACTGCCCACTGTGCTCAGTGCCAGGTCTGTAAGAGCATCCAAACCACACAGACCACCAAGGATAGCTGTAGTTCAAGAGAAGTGACAGAGTGCAATGTGCAGCAGTGGGCTCAGTGGTTCAAATGCTTGAGTAAAGCCTGATGAGAGACCTAAAAGATCTAGAAAGGCATCCCTTATGGGTACAGAACCTCTCCCTTGTAATAAGCTAGCTATTCTTCATCAAATGCTAACCAGATGCCACAACACACATTTCTTTAAACTTAACCTCTTACAGTAGTCACCAAATTGAGGTGACCTTACACAGTGGAAAATAATTTAAGTGAAAATAGTCTCCCAACATTTGGGGAAAAAACCTGCACTGAAAATGGTACCTCTGTATGAATTCCGCCTTTGGTGGATATTGCCGTCCATGGAATTGTCAACTGGTGTGATATCTTGAGAGTTGCGAGGAATTGGAGTATCAGTCATGATAGGGTTTGGGTCAGGGGACTTATCAATGGGTTTCAGTTCCAGCCTCTCATGATGGATCCAGAGGTCTGGGGGCTTAACATCTTTGGAGTTCCCTTTGTATTTATGGGAGCCATTCACTGATTTGCAGGCAGCTCGTTTCCTAGAAATAAAATTAAGAAGTGTTTTTAAAAATTAATTCTTTTGAACATATTTATCAAAAGGCTTGAGTGATCATGACTGCCTTTCTAAGGGATGCTTCAAGCAAAGGCAGAAATGAAAACAAAAAACAGAGGCAAGAAGTTTATTTCTGGACAGAATAAACACGTATTTAGAGACTGTTCAAGGTGTATTTGAATATTGCCTTGTGACTCTTTTTTTTTGAGTGTTAAAATCAAATCTCTAAAACAGAAGGATCCTCTACAAGTCTCTGATTAATAGAGAAAGAGCAACATTAAGCAGGAACACAATAACTGACAGCTTATAAAGGAATGAGGAGTCACTTTTTATAGGACCAAGTTAGGAGTACCGATGAGGTGGGGAGAAGAGTGCGGACAGCATGCCTCCTTCACTCACTCACTGCCCTGCTCAATGACCATGTAACAGGCACCTGTGTGTCACATCCCGTGCTGCACTGCTGTGCTTCAGCCCTTGTGGTCAAGTGAGGAAGACAGACACTGAGCATTTTTAAATGTTCAGAGTTTAGTGAAATGCCAAGTGTTACAATGAAATCTATAGGTGGATCTAAGGTAGGTAAGAAAAATGTGAAGTGACATTTAAGCTGAGACATAATGGGGACAAAAAGTGCATTGGAGGTGGTGAAATCAGCTTATGTCAAAGCCCTGAAGCAGAGAACAGCAGCCTTGTGCATTAGAGAGATTCTGAGGAGTCCTGACTGTGGGAGGGTGGTAAGCCATGCAGAGAATGACGAGAAATAATGTCAGGAAGGCAGTCAGATCATAAAGGGCTTTTAGAGCAGGACCAAGAATGAGAGTGTCCCTTTATGAATAATGAGAAACCATTAAACAGCTTTAAGTGAGAGAGCAAGGAGATCAATTCTGAGTTACAACTTTAAACCACCATGTTGTGAAGAATGGTTTTTGAAGTGGGGGACAGAAGAGATCAGCTAGGACGTTACTGCAATAATTTCAGCTATTACTGATGGTGGCCTCAGACAGTGAGAATGAAAGAAAAGGCAGATGTGAAAGATACTTAGGGGGCAGAAATGACAGGACTTAGGTGAATAAATGGACATAGGGTGGGGTGAAGAAGAAAAAGGAGAAAAGGATGAGGCTGAGGTTTTTGGTGTAAGCTACTTACTAATACTGGGAATAAAGGACTGGAAGAGGTTTGACTGAAAAGGTTATGAATTGTTTTGGACATGCTGAATTTGAAGTGCCTCTGAGAATTCAAAAGGAAGTGTAAAAGAGGCAATTAGGTGTACAAGTCTGATCCTCAGAAGAGAGAAGTCTTGGCTACAGACAGAAACACAAGAGTAGCTGGGAGGCAAAGAGTTGATGAGACCACAGGAATAGACGAGGTCACTTGGAAAAGTAGAAAACAGAGTAAGTCCAGGTGCAGACCCTGGGGAATGTGTGTGTGATGGCTGGGTAGATAGGAGGGGCTATAAAAAAGAACACACTGCCATGGAGTACAAAAGAAGAGAAGGCTTACAGAAGGAAGGAGTAATTGAGTATGTTAAATATTGTTGAGGGACTAAGATGAGGGCTGAAAATATTCTTTGGCTTGAGCAAAAGAATATGGAGGTCACTGGTGACCCAGCAAAGGTCATTTTGGTGAAATGAAAGGAGAATCCAGGTCAGAAAGGACTGAAGGAATAGGCTCCAAGAGAGCATAAACAAGTACAGTGAGCCCTCCGTATGTGGGCTCTATATTCTTGGATCTAACCAACTGTACTCTAAACAATACAGCATAATAATCATTTACAGTATAGCATTTTCATTGTACTAACATGTCAATTGATGATGAGAAATTCTTAGGCAGTTTTTGTCAGAAACAAATACAGTAAGATGTCAATTATGCCAGAGAGAAGAAAATAGCAAGTACAAGGTCTTAGAAAGACAGGAGACAATGAGAACCGGAAAAAAATGGAAAGATGGCTTCAACAGGAGGAAGGACACTTAGGAAGGGGAAAGAAACAATGCAATTCTACTGGGAGGTGATTAGATCTCTGGAGTATGCTGAGGTAGTTCTCAACTGCTATGGTTTGGATGTGTTTGTGCCTCTGAAAATTTATGCGGGAAGCTTGGTGTCTATTTTGGCAAAAAACAGGTGGTGGAACCTTGAAGAGATGTTCTACTGGGAGGTTGATAGATCTCTGGAGGCAGTTGATTAAAGAAGTTCTCACAAGACCAGGTCAGTTTCCCAGAGAAACTGGTTGTTGTAAGGAAGTCCAGCCCTGCTCCTGAATTCCTCTTCCGCAAAGATAGTTCCCTATTTCTGTGACGGAGGGTCCTCACCAGGGTACCAATACCATGCTGTTTGGATTCCCCCAGCTACCAGAATCATGAGTCCAATAAACCTCTTAAAGTACCCAATCTTGAGTACTTTGATACAGCAACATAAAACCAACTCATGTATCATCTGACGGCCCCACCTTCTTACAGGAGAAGCCCAGGTCGTCTGCTGAGAGTGGAGGGCTGAAGGGAATGTGCTGAGAGGCAATGATGGTGTAGAGTCTCCGACTCTGAGTGTGTAAGATGCTATAAACAGCTACTGTCTAAATGGGAGGTACTTTGGGTATTAGAGAGGAAGAAAAACCCTTGGTTTTTTAATGGCCAATAGAATATTTAGAAAGCAGCTTATTTGGGAAGGAAGAAGGGAAGCTCTGTGAGGACTTGATGCAATTATTTTAAACAAAGGGACTCAAATCTATACGGCTTACAGATTCAAATACAGAGTGCACACTCTATTACCAACTTGTTTTCTTAGACTCAATTTGAAGACTGAGTACCTTATCTTTTATTTATTTTGAATTTTACATCTCTGGAGGCACTAAGGAATTCTATGTTATTTTGGTTTTTAGTTTCTATTAAATAAAGATCTCAAGATTTCTAAAACTGGATATAAAAGCCAAGTTTATAAAGACAGGCAAATGTGAAATGCCAAATAAAGAAGCTTGCAGAAAAGTTCTGGAGTAGAAAAAAATGTAGTCTTTGAGGCTTTTTAAGAAAAACAGCTTTCTACAATCAGAAGTAGACAGGGAGAGCTATAAGAGGCAGTGGTCAGGAGGCATATAAAAAGAGCCCTCATTCTCTTGTAAAAGTGATGTAATGTAAGCTATGGAGAGCTATTTTATTTGAGAAGAAAGAGATTTAAAATATCACATAACCTACAGAAAATGACAAAGTCATTGCTAGCAGCAGTTACAGGGTGGCTTGTATCTGCCCTGTATTGAAAATAAATGTGTCATCATTAAATACATGCATTCTTGCCCTGGATCAAGTCAGATAATCACAAGCACAGACATGAATTTCTTCCTCTTTATGGAGCAGATCCCCATCTAATGAACTTGAAGGATACTGTAACTGAAGTTGTTCTATTATCTCTGCTGTGTTTTTATTATTTGGGCAGTTTGGGAATCTCCTTTCTTTGTACTGTCTTGCTGTCAGGCGTGTGAGCGCAATGTAGTCTAGGGTGCAGGGTCCGCTCTAGTTCAGGGCAGTAGGAGGTCATGCAGCATGTGCACTGATACCCTTGCTATCTGCTCTTAGACCTTTCATGCTGAATCTCAAAATTCCAGGAGTGCCTGCTACAGCTATTTGACCTTACAGAGGAGCTGACCTGTCGATTACCAGAGATTCTTTCTTGTTCATTAAAGTAATGCCTCCCCTTTATACTTGGTGACAATTTCTTTTTTCAGTACTAGGGTTTGAATTCAGGGCCTTGCAAAGTAAGCACTCTATCACTTGAGCCATGCTCTCACATTTATGCCCAGGCTGGCCTGGTCTACAATCCTTCTATTTTCCCCTCCTGTGTAGTTGGGATGACAGGCACATGCCATCACCCCAGCTTATTTGTGAAGCTGGGGTCTCGTTAACTGTTTGCTCAGGCAGGCCTCAAACTGTGAGCCTCCAGATGTCTGCCTCTTGAGTAGTTAGGATTATAGATGTGAGCCATGTGCCCAGTTCAGTATCACTTCTTTAAAAACATTCCTAAACTTACATTTATAAGAGGCTAATGGTTTTCTTCTACATCAGCTGGACACAGCCTGCAGGAGGCCTATCCACAAATCCCAGGATGCTTGGCACCTTGTGCATACAAAGAGTGCTTGAAAGGGAGACCAGTAATACTTGACAGACCCACTTCTTTTCCACATCCCTTCTGTGCTTGGCTCTGAAATTCAGTAGGCTGAGGTAAATGAACTATATACCTCTTGGCATTCCTGGCCCTAGCTTCCCATTGGATTTGGCCAATAGAAGGTACTGGCAAGAGCCTGAAGGTTAGAAGGTGTTTCTTCTCCTGCTCCTTCCTGCTGGGCAACATTCCTCTAGCTCCGCCATGTTCCTGTCAGGAAGCCCTCTTCTACTGCTTCAGACCTCTGCAACAGCTTCCTCCTCTTGCCTTTTCGGAACTAAGGGTGATGGTGCCTCATTGCTGCTGCTTGCTCTGTTTCCCCTAGCCTCACCTCTAACTTTGTAAATGGTTCCTCTGAGAACTTCTTTTTGCCAGGACCCTGACTGACACACATTTATAACATGAACCAATTTCTGTTTCCTTTCAAAATACAATCATGTGCCACTTAACATGTATATTCCCTTTTGTCATTGTGCAAATATCATACAGTGTACTTACACACTCCTAGACAGAACAGCCTACTATAGACCTAGGCCATATGGTGTGGGCAATGGCTCCTGGCAATAAGCCTGTCCAGTGTGTTACTGTACAACTGTAATACTGTGGGCACTTGAAATACACAGTAAATATTTGTGTACCTAAACAGAAAAGGCACAGTGAACACATGGTATAAGATAATAAGTAATGTCCTTGTATAGGGCACTTACCATGAATGGGCTTGCAGGACTGGCTGATGTTCTGGTGAGTCATGAGTGAGGGAGCACCAAGTGAATGTGAAGGTGAGGGTACTGCTGTGCACTTAGGCTACATACATTTATGAAAGATGTTTTTCTTTCTTCAATAAATTAACCTTATGTTTACTTTAATTTCTTTGCTTTATAAGCTCTTAATTTCTTTTAGTTTTGACTCTTTTAGTAACACATTTAGCTTAAAACACATTGTATAGCTATAAAAATATCTTCATATGCTTATGAAGTTTTTTTCTATTCTTAAAATTTTTTACTTTTTAACTGTTTGTTGAAAACAAACATGAATACACACATTATCCTAGGTCTGTGCTGGGTCAAGATCACTGCAATCACTTCCTCCAGCTCCACACCTGTCCAGTGACTATGGTCTCTAGGACAACAGTGCCCTCCCCTGGATCCCTCCTGAGGCCTGTCTGGGCCTCTTCTGGTACAATCATCACTCTTCAAACACATCCACTTGTTTGTTTGCTTGGTCTGTTTCCTTTTTTTCATCAGAAATTTGCTTGTAGATAGATGGTGCACCATGAACATTCTTCTGTTAATGCAAATCTTCTGGCGTTGGGGGTCCAAGTTTTCAAATGTTTAAAGGAGTTTCTTGAGGTCTGCAAAAGCTTCTGCTAAACCTTCTGAGAGAGTTTAGCAGAAAGAAAAAAAAAACCAGATATCACAAGATTTATTGGCTACATTGGGGGCTCCTTACTTTTTCTGGTGAGAGGTGGTACGCCGGGTACAAAAGACAGCGATGATCACGACCACCACAATGGTGATGACGCCAACAGAAACGATGATGACCAACAGCATACTGCTGTCTAGAGAGGTGGGGCTCCCATGAGGGCTGTTGCTGCCTGCACGGGGAAAATGGTACATTGGTTAATCTGTTAGAGAATTTTAAGGAATGCACTCCATCTGGTAATATATCCATTCCAGGGTATTTCATGTGAACTTCCTTACAGCAGTCATCAGTGTGCTGCAAAGTGCTGCATGAAGGTGACTATCTCCCTAGACAGGTTTCTAGAGAGCTGAGAGCCTACCCTATGTGCAGAGCTCAGCACAGACCTGCTCAAAGGCAGTATTCTATAAAAGCTTCTTCAACAGCACTGAACATTCAAGGTTGCAGATATACTTGGACTATAAAGGGTCCTTATAAATAGAGAAAGATAAATCTTGTTTTTATTTATAAGATACACAAATTCATCTTGAAAAGCACCATTTCTAAGCCATTTGGGCTTTTGACTTTCAGAATTATTTAAAAATGTGTATTCACACAAAGCAAAATATGCCAAAATATAGATGTCTGAGATTACAAAAAAATTTGAAAAAGAATCTCTTTTTATAAACACACAGACCATACCATGCAGAGTTAATTTTCTTATTCAACTTCAGGAAAAAGGAGGTCTGCAAATATGCATTAAGTTGACAAGTATCTATCAAGCCACCATATGTGCCCATCATTGTCCTAGGTACTAAAGATGCAACAGTAAACAGCAAAGATGTGCATGTTGGAGGTAGGGCTGGGGCAAATGATAAACAAGTAAGAAATTATTAGTTAGTGATGAATTCTGTGGGAAAAAAATAAAATGAAGGGATAAAACAATGACTAGCTTTTCCAAATGCAATATGGATATCCTGAAGAGGTCATCCACTGTGGCTCTGTGCATAGGAGCACAGGGCTCTGAGTGTACAGTCCCTTTCAAGACACTGGAGAAGCTGGGTTTTGAGTCTGAGCCTGCACATTCCTACAACTTCTGAGTTCTATGGACAGTGACTGGAGAGACAAACCCTGAAGAACACAGATCTCTGGAGCATGCAATCTGAATTCTAAGTTTAATTTGCTCTACTCTTTTGATAAGTAGATTGAAAAAAAAAAAAAGAAAAGAACTTCTCTGAGAAGATGGTATTTGAGCTAACATTTAGATGACAAGAAGGATCCCATCACAAAGATGTGAGTGAAGAACACTTCCAAAAGAGGACAGACAAGCTAATGGAAGTACCCCAAGGCAGAAAAAGGCAGCCAGCATGGCTTAATCACAGAGTGATGCAAGGCAGAGGGAAGAAAGAAGGAAAAAGACAAAGAGGAAGCCAGCGAGGTATGCAGAGGTCAGATCACTTAGGACTGAAAGAAACCCAGGTTCTCTACTTCTAGTATTACTATCTCCCAATGCTTATAAGATGACGTCAGGTTTTTTTTTTTTTTTTTTAAATCAAGGTTGTCTGTTATGTAGCTCTTAAGTTTTCTCACTTCATTACTTATATCATCCATGCTCACATTATAAAATGTGGCCAATCCATCACACAGATGTAACCACAGATATCACGATATCTGGTATCTTTCCTTTTAATCACTCCCTTATCTAACAATCAGAGCTGTACAATAATGGGATGAGCTGCTTTGCCAAATAGTGAGTCTGTAGTTACTAAAAGTATTAAGAGGCATCCTATTAGTGTGGTATATTACGAAAGAAATTCCTACCAGGAAGGTATGGTCTGTGCTTTTAGAAAAATATTCCTCAGGTGATTCTCATACCACCTGGCTTATACATTGATGATCTAATCCGAAATTTTACCCATTGTGAGAATCCTTTCCACAACACTGGATTAGCTAGCTGATCCTCCAACTTTGATTCTATGATTTTATAGACTATGTCTAAGCACAGTACTAAATCTGGAGCTGATTCAGAAGGGCTTAAGAGCTTATTCTTCTACATTTGGATTCAATCATTTCTATCATTTATTTCTGAGAAAATGGTAAGTAGACAGACAACAAACTGTACATGGTGACCTTCAATAAAATAACACCTGATATTTGGGAAAGACTTATTGGGGCCAAAAAAATTAACCATACTGTTCATATCAGAGCAGGGCTTTACATAACATTGTTATTACCAAAAGTGCTAAGTTACTGGGTTGGGTACTTGGTGAGGGCAGCCACTGCAAATCAGAAGCTTGGGAGCTGGGATATGGGAGGTAAGCAAGGGTAGTCAAGTCGTAGTTCTTTGCTGCGTTTGACACAGACAAATTCTCATTTAACTGCATTTGATCTCTAATACAAGCTGGACAAAGTTTCCATCTTGGATAGAGCAAGAGTGAACTGGCAAAAGGGGTACCAACACTGCTACCCCAGATCATATTACATGCATTTCTTATGCTTCCCCTGGATTGTTTCAACAGCTTCCTAACTGCTTTTCCCTGACTTCATACTCTTGGCCTCCAACTCATGTTCTCACAGTAAAATAACAGTAGATACTGAGTAAATGGAAGTTGTAATATACAAGAAGTATCAGATATTTTCAACAGGTTATTTATAGGATAAAGCTCTTATTTTTTAGCATTGGTATTTGAGCTCTTGCCAGGCTGGTTCTAACCTACCTTACCTTTTCAGCTTAAATTCTATCCTTCCTCTAGGCGAGGATTCCTACAGAGAACAGCTGGTTTTACATTGCTATGCCTCTTGGCATGCTGTTAGTGCTTCCTGGAATGTCTGAGTCCCCTCTTTGACATTTAGCAATCTCCCATGCGTCCTTTAAGACCTGGGGTAGTCACTACCTCTTCTCCAAAGCTTTCCCTTTTCTCTATAGGTACTTGTTACTCCTCTTCCTTCTATAGCCTGCTGCATAGAACTTAACCTTTAAAAACACACAGGCATGAACAAATGCATAAATGAGAGACATAATTACTTTTCTCACAGCCTGGATATTATACTGTGGCTAGCACAAAACGTTAACAAAGGAAAGGAGGAGAAACTTGTGAACAATTCTTAGCATAAAAATTTCTTGAGGCATGCAAGTCTGTCTGTTCTCTTAAGAGCAGGCTGATCTCACTGAAGTATGGGCAGTGCCACTTTTGATTTAAACGGGGAGCTGGAGATTAAGAGATCATTGTATCCCCACAATTATGACTACGGGGCCCTAGAGGACAGGCCTTTCTCTTCTGTATGTCTGTGAGAAAAGCTGATGAGACAGTAAAGATCAAGTCTACTAACTACTTCTTTTTCCTTTGCAGTACTGGGGATTGAATCCAGGACCTCACACATGTTGTCTCGCTAACTTTGCTTAGGCTGCCCTTGAGCTCCTGATCCTCCTGCCTTTGCTTCCTGGTTGTAGCTAAGATTATAGACATGAGCCATCTTACCTGGCCTCTAGTAACTACTTTTGTGGACATTTTGCCATTCTAGATTCTCACATCTGGCAGAGAATCCTGGTTTTTAGGCTGCATGTGACTGTGTAAAAAGAACAATCCAAAGACAGAACCCTGGATTTAGGACCTGTGCCAGAATTAGTGGGTAGCCCCAGGCAAGTTACTTTTGCACTAAGTCTCTTAACTATTAACTGGGAATAACGGAATCTGTTCTCACTGCTCCCAGGGTTGTAAGGATCAAATGTGCTTTCAAGTGTGAAAGTAGAAATGTGAATGAAGTTCTATAGAGAACAAAGTGTTTCTAAATTAGAAGACACTAGTTTTTAGGATGGTGGTAAGAATGGAAAGAACTTTCTAGAATCCCCAAACTAAAAACAGTGCAGTAAGTAGTATTGGAATAACTTAATGATTCTAAAGCGTTTTCCTGACTAGCTTTGGTTGATGGCTAAATCCTACCAGAGGACTTATTTTTAAAGTTTTCAACATCTTCTAGAGTTAATGGACAACAGAATGAGTCATTTGTTTAGGAATTAATCTTGTCTTAAGCTGGCTATGTGGGGAAACAATTTTATTTACAGATCTTATAATGATCAGGCTTGTATTAATTCAGCTAAACTTTACCACCAAAATGCCTAATGCTAGATCTGCTAAAAAAAAAAAGGAAATAAATTAACATGCTAAAACCCACCATGCAAGCTATAAAACACATTTGAATATTTTAAGCAAAACTGCTTCATGTCCAGAGTAGGCTGAAAAAGCCATAAGAAGGTCTTTACCACTCATTGGAGGTTTGTAGTCAGATCCTAGGTCTGGCAGCCGACTTCCTTTTCCTGCAGACCCTAAGGCTGAAGAGAAGAAATCATGTTAGTAATGGCCCAACACATTGGTGTGACAGTCCACTTCACAGCTAGTAGGTGCTTTCTACAAAACATAATCTTTTCAGTCTACTCTGTGAGAAAATGAAATAACAAATAATGGGAAATATAAGCCTAAGTGTGCAAGGCAAACTAAGGTCTAACCTTCTATGCAATGAAGCATCTGAAAGGCTGACACCTTAGTTCTGTGGCTATGCCCAGACTGCTACTCTGCTGTTCAGGAAGTGGGACACAGACATTTTGCTAGCCCAGGAAACAGCTCCCAAAGGGCTGCTCAGAGAGGACTATGGCAGATGTAACTTCCTTTGGAAAAGAAACCACTAAGAACTGTGCTCTTGCCAGGATCCAGTTGTGCTGATCTGGCCTAGTCAGTGGCAGTATCATTCCAATTCTTTTCTCAATTATAAAGTTGTCTTTCCAAGAGTCTAATTAGCCTGAGCAGGAGCAAGAAAGTAACTGAAGGGTCATATTGGGTTCTCAGTTCTTCCTCTGTCATCTAAGCATTCAAAGATGGCAAAACTCATCCTCCTAAGTTACTCACAAAGGTCACGTCTCCTAATCCATTGTGACAAGGCACAGTGTGACTGCTGACCTTAGGCTTGCAGCCATCCTAGCAGCAAACCTTAGAAAACTCAAATATCAGTTTTTTAAAAATATTCTTATTCTTGGTCTTGAGTCATCTTCTTCACTTTTATAGCCAAGTTGCTTGGGTAAAGCAAACACAAGGAACCCTTCCCCCATAAAATAAGGATATCACTCAACCCAAGGTTTGTAGCCAAAAAGTAGCATCGTTAGTCTCCTGACAAGAGGTCTGAAAGAACTGCCGAGTGAAAGCTGCTCCTCCTGGCTCACACAGCATAGTACCTAGCAGGCCACACTTGGACACTAGCTTATTCACATAGCACAAGTTACAGAACTATTCTTTCTGGGCCTCAGTTTCCTCACTGGAAAACAGGGATACTAATGGTATCAATGTCACAAAACTTGTGAGATTAAATGGAAATTTAGTACTATAAAACATTTTGAATGCTGCCTGATATGTAGTAATATTCAAGAAGTATTGAGTATAAGCATAATGACTCTTCAAGGAAGAATACAATCTTTCCTTTATAGAGGCAGAGAATGACAGTTATTTCTACAAAAAAAGCTTGACTAGAAATGAATAAACTAGATGTATTCCTGCAAAATCTTACTGCCAATGTCAAGTCCTTTAATAATCATACTTTAAAGAAATTCCAATTTGAAATTGTTGGTAATAGTTTACTTAACAGAACAAATCTAGAGACTAAACAGTGTCTGCTATATTTCCGGAAGCTGAAAACCTCCAAGAGAACAGAGGTCCTTGGCTATCTAAAAGGGCATGTTCTCGAATTTCACTCAGTCCACAACTGCTTTTCTACTGTGTACTTTATCCCCTTCTTCTGATGCCATAATTTTCCCCAAATGACACATGGCAACCACCAGTTGTTTTTCACATGCTTTTCCCTTGAACAAGGTCTCCTTAGCATCTTAAGGTTCTTCATATTTAGGTGTCTGTGGCCCTCCAATTGGCTACCTGTAAGCCACAGTATCCAGAGCACCATATCATATAAATAGTCACCAAAAATGCTTTGCCAATAAACTGGTTGGTTTCTATTCCTTTATTTCCTGATTATTTAAAAAAAATTTGAACTATGAACAAGAAATTGTAAGGATGAACCTAGCACCAAATACACCAATAGGTAAAGAAATTTGAATACCAGAGGTACGGTGCAGCAAAGAGTTGCACTCTGGTTATCAAATGAAGTGGAAGAACAAAGGGCACATTTTTATTCTGTGCATACATATTATAATTAATATTATATTTTTATGTTTCCACAATGCAGAAATATGCCTGCAGATTCCCTAATATGCTAAAGATACGATGAATGCAAACACACACCCAGAGCCCGGAAACGCAATTCCTCAAGTTCTGACTTTTCCTTGCATTAACTAAAATCTTGTATTTTCTTTTCCTCCCCTCACACCCTCATTTCCTTTCTTTTTCTTTTCTTTTCCTTTTGTGGAACTGAGGTTTGAACTCAAGGCCTTGTATTTGCTAGACAGATGCTCTACCACTTGAGCCATGTCCCTGACTGTTTTTGCTTTACCAGTGCCTCCCATGTAGCTGGGATTACAGGCTCGCACCACCATGTTTGGCTTATTGGTTGGGATAGGCATCTTATGAAGTTTTTTTTTTTTAACCCAGGCTGCTCTTGAAGCAGAGATCCACCTAATCTCTGCTTCTTGAGTAGCGGGGATGACAGGTATGCTCTACAATGCCTAGCCTCAGAGATCTTGTCTTTCTAATAACTACTCTCAAGTCACAAGAACAGTTATTAAATTTACTTTCAGTGTTCTTTTTTAGTTTGGAAATCATGGTTTAGCTGTCTTCCCAGAGGTAAAAATCACCAAGTACGGCTACCCTCCACAGCAATTACAATGAAAAGAGTGCTGAACACCACCAACAACAGGTGTTGGCGAGGATGCGGGGAAAAAGGAACCCTCTTACACTGTTGGTGGGAATGTAGACTAGTACAACCACTCTGGAAAAAAATTTGGAGGCTACTTAAAAAGCTGGACATCGATCTACCATTTGATCCAGCAATACCACTCTTGGGGATATACCCAAAAGACTGTTACTCCAGAGGCACCTGCACATCCATGTTTATTGCGGCACTATTCACAATAGCCAAGTTATGGAAACAGCCAAGATGCCCCAGCACTGACGAATGGATTAAGAAAATGTGTATCTATACACAATGGAATTTTATGCAGCCATGAAGAAGAACGAAATTTATCATTCGCTGGTAAATGGATGGAATTGGAGAACATCATTCTGAGTGAGGTTAGCCTGGCCTCAAAAGACCAAAAATCGTATGTTCTCCCTCATAGTGGACATTAGATCAAGGGCAAACACAACAAGGGGATTGGACTATGAGCACATGATAAAAGCGAGAGCACACAAGAGGGGTGAGGATAGGTAAGACACCTAAAAAACTAGCTAGCATTTTGTTGCCCTTAATGCAGAGAAACTAAAGCAGATACCTTAAAGCAACTGAGGCCAATAGAAAAGGGGAGTAGGAACTAGAGAAAAGGTGAGATCAAAAAGAATTAACCTAGAAGGTAACACCCACGCACAGGAAATCAATGTGAGTCAATGCCCTGTATAGCTATCCTTATCTCAACCAGCAAAACCCCTTGTTCCTTCCTATTATTGCTTATACTCTCTCTACAACAAAATTAGAGATAAGGGCAAAATAGTTTCTGCTGGGTATTGAGGGGGGGGGGAGCGGGAGGGGCGGAGTGGGTGGTAAGGGAGGGGTGGGCAGGGGGAGAAATGAACCAAGCCTTGTATGTACATATAAAAGAAAATAAAAAAAAAAAAAAAAAGAAAAGAGTGCTGATATATGATTTCCAGAATGGTGACATCAAGGACCATGCTCCTCACGTTTTCATGTTAAATAGTTTTAAGATGATCAGATATATTTAGGAGAAGATATGGAAAAAGAGATCAGGACTAACTCATCATAACAGAATAAACGAAGCAACTCTTGGTCATGGACAATTACATAATTTAGTACAATATATTTGTAGGTTCTTTGTTGAGTAGGAAAATACAGTATTCATTGAATTTGGTTACAATATTTCATTCAGAGACACTAATAAACTTCTAGATGCTATAAATATGAGAAATCGGTATGACTAATTTCTTTGTGACTCTGTCACTATTACACAACTTCAGTACTTTAACACTTAGGCTAATAAGGTCAGTCTCCTATGGCTTCAGGGCTCAGTTTATTCAACTCAGTTTTCTTCTGCCAGTCTATTCAGCTCCTAAGTGAATCTCCCAGCTTTTCACATACCCCAAGGGCCACAGACATGGACTCAACTCCACTTTGGCAATAAATATGTGATTTTTAACACATGGTACTGATTTTCAGGGAACAAAAAAAAAGAACAAAAACAAAAAGCTCATAATAGGTCACAAAAGAGAGAAAAGGAAAGAGAGGTCATCTACTCATTACCTTGATCATTAGGCATTTTATCAGAGGAGTCCGCTAACAGGCCAAGCACAGGGGAAGAAAAAACAAGAGCAAAGATCACAAGCTTTGAAGGTGTGATAGACAGAAGCTTTAAAGGAAAAAAATAAAATCCCCACAAACTTCCAAACAAACTGAGTCTTGCTTTGGTACTAACAGAAAAGAAATACAGGTTTCCATATTTCCACAGACTCAGTCCCCAACTAAATTTTATTAGCCTATACTTGCTTATTTCAATACTTCATCTTCATTTTAAAAATTTTGAGTTTTACAAAAAAGGCCCTTTTTAGTCTCTTGTTCTCTACAAAGGTTCACAAATAAGCCTTTTAGGCTAAAAGAGAACAATCCATCACAATAATATGCTGCACTGCTCTCTACAGAACCAAATGAATCACATCTGATTTGTCTGGTAAAAACTTATGTATCACTGCAATTCATCTGCCCCAAATAACTTGAGCCAAGGTGTCCTTGTTTGCGATATGAACAGGCCAGTCACCTGGTGAACACTGATTTGGTCAGTGGGTAGGTAAGGAATCCTTTGGTATAAATCTTCATGCTGTGGCTGACAAACTCATCCTTAGGACTTCTCAAAATACCCAGTTTCTTATGCTGAAGAAAGCCTAGAAGCACAGTCCCACTAAGGAGACACAACAAATCCCTCAGCTGGGGGAGCTTTACCTTTGGAGTTCTGAACTGAACGGTTTCAGACATGGGTCCATGCCCTTTGAGTTCCGGGCCTGGATTTTGTAAGTAGTAGGGTGTGTCAAGTGTTAACTCTTGAATCTGGTGAGTCAGTCTGTTTCCCACAACAGGTTCAATTACCCAGTCATGTATCTCTGCATTCACGTCTGTACTATAATATATGATGTAACCTGTCCAAATGAGTTAATGGGAAATCTCATTATCGCTTTTCTTTTTGTAATTGGGAAGTCAATAAATGCATATTACAACACACACACACTGCAGCATAAAATCTGAATATCAAGGGTCTGCAATTAAAATAATGCAGTTTTGAAACTTGGTAATGGCATAGTATGCTGTTTTGGCTCTTTTCAAAGTGATCTCCTAGGAGAAAAACTGGCAGATTGGCAGCAACCTCTGATAAAGTTCTCCCAGACTTTGTGTGGGTAAAGCCACAGTGAACAGTCTCTGTATGTTTTCACTAGGGGGCACTCAATTCCCACAAGTGGGACAGGAAGCACTGCAAACAAGATTACCTAAACCACAAAGTGCAAAGAAACTATGGTTTCTGATTTTAAAAGACAAAAGTAAAAAGTAGGAGAGGGAAAGTCAAAACCTAAAAAAATGACATAAAGACCAGAATATATTTAATGGGATTCTTACTGAAAGTTAAAAGGAAGACAGTGCTAAAAAACAAAACACTTTCTGTTTCTTTGGGCCAGTATCTTCACACTTTGGAAGGCAAACTGGTTCTCAAGCACATTCCTACATGGAGCACAGGCTCCAAAGGGAATGACCAACAGCCAATTCTCCATGATAAGGCTGAGGAGGGCACAGTGTCCTTTCTACTATGCAAAGTTTCACTCTGGAAGTCCAAGGGAAAATTCTGGGTCCGTTCAAAGGGCTAGGACAATTCAAGCTTTTAACTAGTTGTAAGAGTAGAGGAAGCTGAAGTAGCAGGTCTACGAGGGCAAGGGAGGAGGGGGAAGGAATTAAAAGCTGAATGGACTTTTTTGGGCTTTTAGATAAAAGAACACAATTTATATTTATTGGGCATTGCCTAGTAGAATTAAGCAGGGTATACAACTCCAAAGTTTGGTCACCTAGCAGTGAACAGCTTTCCCAAGGAAAATAAATATACACATATTATAATGTTATAGTATAAACAAAGGCTGTCTAGGATACACCATCCCCATGACCTGCAGGTACAGCCACCAGCTAGTGACCTATTTCTATGCCACTGTAGACAGTCTATCCTCACTGTAATTTCAAGGACAACCATGATTCATACCACTCTTAAGGAGTGCAAGGCAGCCTTCAGATTCCCAATTCTCTTAACAACAGAGTACTTGCCTGGAGCAGCACAGACACACACACTCTAGGCATCTTACCTGTAATTTTGCCATTGCTTCAGAGGGAGGCTGCCAGTTCACAATTATGGTCCTGGGTTCCCCTCTTTACTCACAACTGTCACATCCTTAGGTGAGAAAGTAGGAACTACAAAATAATAGTCTTTCAATGATTCCTGTCCATGTCAGGATAATTTACCATTCCTTAAACTCTTTCCATTTGTAAGGTTACAATAAAGGAACAAGACGAAAAAAAAGATAAAGGTCTCCTGGCTTCAAAGAACTCATTGTCTATGTGTAAGTAGTTATGGTAAAAGAATATGCAAAGGGCCAAAGAGAAATCACCATACTATGAGAATACAGAATGGCACCCTGGCCTAGAGTAAGGACATATACGATAGGTAGGAGAATAAAATGACACTGCACCACGTTCATACTATGTGCCAGGCACTGTACAACAGCATCTCATTTAGGCATTTATGGTAATTCTGACAGATGGCTATCACTGCCCCTAAAGTTCAGGACACCAAAAATATGAGGATTAAAGTAATTTGCTAAGATGATTTCCTCAATTTGGATTATTGTAGTTTAGAATGTTTTTTAAGTATAAAATGGCTTTCTTGTAGCTGGCTCTCTAAACCAAGTATGACTTAAAAGTTTGATTTCCTAAAGAAATAACTTACCAATTGACATTTTTTCTTTTTAAACTTATACTGAAAGCAAGGTGCCAACTACCGAGATCACTGCTCTAAAAGAAAAGTTGTACAACAGAAAACAAAATGAAAACAACAGTATTTCTATGTTACAGCCGAACACATTTAATGTATCGCAGGGAAGCTGTACACAGCAAGTACACTCCAAATTTACTTCTCTTCCTAAAGTACTGGAATTGTAGTATAAGACAGAAGGAAACTTGGGGAAACACTACAATTTTAAGGGAAAATACAAATTTCATTTATTAGTAATGAGTTTGAATTAAAGCAAAAAGACATTCTTAAAACATTGGCAAAAAAGTAAACTGAATTTCTATTTAGTCTTTTATGTATACTTCTACCTCTCCAAATCCCTCTTTTTCTACAGGAATTTCAGTCAATTGTGCAGAAGGATTAAGTCAGTTTGTATAGAACATATATATATGTCCAGATTTTCATTATTCACAAAAGGCACTGGTGGCAAAAACCTCCATATTAGGAAAGCCCAAAGAGAGTGGAAGGATAAGTCTAAAAGTAAGCAAAAAGCAAACAGACTCTCAAACCCGGACAGCCTGCTTGATCCTTAATTTTCTCAGTTAATTTTCTTTTCTCCTTCTTGTCCACTTACAAACAAAACCCTAAAGGATATTTTCAGTGAAAGATTTTGCAAAGATACTAAGTATTTTTCCAAGAAAGTCTTCAGGGCAGTTTTGGGGTCATCCAGTAGTTTTCAGGCTCTAGTAAGCATGGCTGGGCAACTGCTTGGTCAAGGGCAGGTCATTTCATTTTTTCAATCTCAATTTACCAGTAAAGCAGGATTAATGACAATAATCTCTTACATCTACCAATGCTTTATAATTTACCACATGCTTTCCCATCTGTTCCTTATCTTACCTTACAATAACCTATAAAGTAGGAAGGGCAGTGATTATTATTCCTCACAGGATGGAAGAAGTAAGATTCTGAGACATTAATGGGTTGCTCATGATCACAGAGATGGATGACCTAGGATTGACCTCGAGTCTCTTGATTCCTAAAATCCAGTGTGTTTTGCATTCTATTATCTTGCTATGTGTTAATGTTCTTCTATAGTGACGAAAACATATAGTTGAAAGAGCAGACCATCTCACTGTGCTCTGTAAATGTGTCCATCATGTACTCAACACATGCCTTGGGCAGTAAAAGCAGGTAATGAGGAAATGTCATGACTTGGAATATGACAGTGGACTGTCATGAATTCCCAACTGGTTTGAAGAGAAGAAATGCCACATGACATGGGTTCTAACAACACATACCTAATTCAAAGGTGGTCCCGTGGGCTGTCATACTCCATGTGCTTGATCGTCGACCTTGGTCACCATCACAGAGAATTCATAGAGTGTATTGGGATGTTGGTCTTCCATCGGACAGTGTAGTACCGGAGTCTGTAATCTTCTGGTGTTTGGGCAGCGAGTTGTCCGCCCATGTGATCCTTATGGTGTCATGACTCAGAATGGAAGCCTGAACTCCCACTGGTGGCATCATGGGAGTGGGATCTGGCACTGGAGTGTATGGAGCATTAATAACAAATAAATCAACCTCAGAAGCGTCTGGGCAAAAAGTAATTTAAAAAGGGAAGTGACATTTTAACGTAAATAAAAATAAAAGGGAAATGCAGGGTAGTATAATGGAATGAAAGATGAAAAATGGAGAAAAAGAAAGAAAATCATAGTTAATAGGTAACCCTCATTCATTTAAAAGAATATTTCTACTTGTGTTCTTTCCGGAAAAAATTGGTAGGAAAAATTTGAGTAAGGCAGTAATCAACTATATTTCCAACTATATTCTATAGGCATATTAAAATATGATAATTTAATAATTATGTTACTATACGCATGAATTTTTTAAAAAATTACTTGAAGACTTTACCTCCTGTCCAAAGGATCATGAAAAAACTAAAATTGCTTTTAAAAATGAATGGTATAACTTCTGAACAAGCAATTCAAAGCTCACTGCTTTGAGATTTCAGTCAATGTGGCTGAATTTTTGGGCTTTTGTTATCAGTGCATATTAGTGGACATGTAAGCATTCTTCTCTCAAATCTGTGTCCTGATTGTCAGTCAGTGGGTCAAGTTCAGACCTGTTGATACGCTCACAGCTGAATAAACCCACAGTAACTCAAGGGCATTCCACTTCTCTTCCTTGAGAAAGGAAAGCTGACACCATGTTGGACCATCTGCTGTACTTTCTTCAGCAGAGTCAGAGAACCATGTAGTGATGAGTTTCCATTAGTTAAGGGAGAGCCCATGGTCAACATGGGTCCAAGGGATACAGCCTTCATGAACTTTAGAAATCAGAGCACTTATTTGATGGAAAGAAAAGCCTATACACATGTGCTGTGCAGAGTTCTATCCAACAGCTATTCTGCTTGAGTCATTGCAAAAACAGAGGCCAGAACAAGTACAAAAGCATCAGGACCACAGATAATGGTCAGGACTGGGACAATTCAGCAGGATCCATTTGGCTTTCCCAATTCTTGATTAGTTTTTCTAAGTATGCATACTCATTTACTTCAAAAGTTTAGGTTTAAAATGTGTTTTCCATGTAGCTATGGTGACTGGTTCTTCCTGTATCTCAAATCTGAAAAGGCACAGACCTTGTTTATGAATGATTGCCACGCTGAAGGTAATAGGTTCTTTGTGTATATTTCTTGCATAACAAGGATCAGAAATAAAAGAGGAACAGCTACGTAATCCAGGCCTTTGTTCAAAGACTGGCAGGAGTTATACCAGTTAGTGACAGAAAATGTACCTTTGGGTGCAGAAGTCATTAGAACGCTGAGTAATCTTTTCTTATATGTACCAACTCTTGGAAAAGGCAACTAGGTTATACAAACTAGGTTATAAGGAATATTTCTTTGTATATTTCTAGCCACATAAATGAAAATAAATTCAATGTTTTTCTGTTACAGCTCAATTTAAAGAAAGTAGAAGACCACTATTTAAATATTCCTTTTGTCCTTATAATACTAAAGTTATTTCTAGAGAACTTATAAATAGGAGAAGACAGGACAAAACTACTGAACATGCAGTAGGATGCTGGTCTGAAGCAGCTCCTAAAACAGGACAAGATCATCTTTTAACAGTACTGCCAGACTATACGAGTATACGGAGCAGCTAGCAGACATATCAGACAACATTGACTCAAAGTTGTGGGCAACACATGGAAAAAGTATCATTACAAAGAAATCCTTTGTTTTTTTAGGACCCTTTAAAAAGTTAGAACTCTATTTATTTTGATAAATTTTTCATTCAAAGTTAGATGTTTTAGATCACTATAGAAATCTTACATTATTTTAGCAATATTTAAAATACATAATTCAAAGAAAAAAATAAGGAACATCTGATTTCTCTTATAATAAAGGTATAACTGGTCAAAAGTACAAAGTGCCTGACTTTAGACCTTTTATGTAAATAGGAAGCTTATAAAAAAGACACAGGAAAATACTCTCCAAGCCAACTTAGGTGACCAATAAAACAGATGTTGGCTTCACCAATCCATGTATTATGCCACACAAGTCACCTGCAGAATTCCTCTGGTGACACAGAGCTCCTTTCAGTTATTGGCTCATTTTAGTTATAACATGCCTGAAAGATGAAAAATCACTTTTAATTCTCTTGAAACTATGCTTTCTGGATTCTAACGTGTTAAAAATATGTATATATCCAGACAGAATAACTTACATGATTGAGCTTAATATTTTCTAACATGCGTAACAGGGATTAACAGCACTTCTTGTTGAAGACTAGTCTCCCATTTGAAGTCTGTACTCCAATGGCCATGCACTTTTCCTTCATGAGCACCTATCGGGGGACCTCATGTCAATACTCTATATAAGTTGCAGGGAACAGTGCTGGGATGCCCTACCTGTGTGAGGTCTGGTCACCGCACTCTCATACAGGGGGATGCCTTCACCAACGTTGTTAAATGCTTTCAGGGTAATCACATAATGAGAGCTTGGGTCTGAGGGAAAGAAGTCAAAATGATTAGAATTTTTAAAAAGTCAAGGGTGACTATGTATAATCTTAATTGCAGAGAAGCTCAAGAGAAATTTACATTTTTTATATGGGATTATTTTGGGGTGTGAGATGTGGAGAAAGCAGCACACACAGCACAACAGAACCCGACGGGTCAACTTCCTGGGCTGGCTTAGTCTCAGGAGTGGAGGTGGACTGTGCTTTCTCTCCTACCCTCTACCAACAGTTCACCTGTTTACTTTCTGCCACACACGCAGTTCTTTTTCAACTCCATACTCCAAACACAATTCTGGCTCAATCTCTCAAGCCCAGGTAAGTTTCTTCCCAAACTGCTCTTCTGTACGTCTCTTGAATATGCTTCCCTTCAACTCACTTTGTTGTTTCCTGTGTAACTTCATTCTCTTATTAGACTGAAAGCGCCTGAAGGTCAGGGGTCAAGTCCTAACTGCATTGCAAAGGATTTTCATTTCAATAGTTTCATGAAGGAAGCAGCAGTAGGAGGCTGGTCATCACAGGGACATTTTTATCCCCCAGCAAAGCCCTCCTTGCTTTGTAAGACTGCTGTTGTGGGGAAGGACTTCCGTGGTTAGCTGTGCTGTTTCTTTTTGAAAGAAAAAAAGAAAGCCTACTTGTTTTTTTACTAGACTTAAATTGCTGCTTATTTGCTACCGGAAAAGATGAAAGTAACTCATTTGTCAGACTCCTGAAGCTGTTTTTAGGAAAGATATCTACAAAGCAATTATTTGAATAAAAATTTTATCAGGGAAGATTCTGATTAAAAGACAAATCTTTCAAACAAAGATTTATAATGATAATCCAATTTGGAAAAGTAATGATACCCAAAATTGATTCATTCATTATAAAATATTAGTATTTCTGAAAAATTTTTAATTTAGGTCAACTATGAGGATAATTAGCATAGTTAAAGTGTACATTAAGTTTTGACAAATTAACATACCAGTATAATCAACCCTAAATAAAGATATAAGACAGTCCAAAAAACTCAAATAGTTGTGCTTTTGCAGTCAATTCCTACCACTCCTGGTTCTACGCAGCTGCTAATCTCACTTTGTCAATGTGGATAAGCTCTTCCTCCTTTGTAATTTCATAAAAATGTAGTAACACAGTAAGTACTTGCTAGTGTTTCACCTTTTGCTCAGCACGTTTATGAGACTCATTTCTGTTAAGTGTGTGTATTGACAGCCTATTACCTTTAATCACTAACTAGTATTCCATTACATGAATATGGCACAACTTACTATTAAGGGGAGTATTATTATTTTTATTATTTCCCCTTTTGGGCTATATAAATAAAAGTACAATAAACATTATTGTTGAAACCATTATGCAGACATGTTTTCATTTCTCCTGGTTAAATATCTACAAGTGGGATTGGTGCATTGTACTGTTCACTTCGTAAGAAACCTCCAACTATTTCACAAAGTGGTTGCACCATAATAAGTCATTCCCAACAGTCAGTAAGAGAATTCTAATTCTGCATCCTCGCTGATATCAGTATTGTCAAATTATTACGTTTTACTGATTCTAGTCTGTGTGCAGTAAGTGGTATTTCATTGTAGCTTTAACTTGAAATGCTCACTGTTCACTCAAGTATCTTCTTTGGCACAGTGCCTACCCAAATGTTCTGTCCACTTTTTGATTAGGTTTTATTCTTACTGAGTTGTAAAAGATTTTATATATTCTAGGTTCAAACTGTTTGTCAGATATTTGAATGGAAGATATTTTCTCCAAGTCTTTTCATTTTATTGGTGTCTTTCCAAAAGTAGCTGCTTAAAATTTTGATGAAGTCCATTTGATCAAATTTAAAATTTTATGGTTTGTACTGTTTTGGATCCCAAGAGGTCCTTGTCTACTCCAAGGTGATGAAATTTTTTTTCTTATGTTTTCTTCTGGAAAATTTTATAGTTTTAGCTCTTGTACATAGGTCTTTTTTTGTGTATGGCATAAGAGTTGAGGTTCCTTCTGTTTCTCATACAGATGTCCAATTATGCCCAAACCTTTTGTTGAAAAGATATTCTCTCCCCACTGAATTACCTCAGTACCTTTGTCAAAAAACCAATTAGTCATATATGTGCAGCTCTACTTGTGGATTCCCCACTGTTCCACAAACCTGTAACATCTTCCTTTACACCAGTACCATACAATGTCTTCACTATAGCTTAGTAAGTCATCCTGAAATCAGATAACATGACTTTTCTAACTTTATTCTTTTTTTCCTTTTCTTGTTTTTGGTTGGGCAGTACCTTTGTGCTTGCTAGGTAGGTGCTCTGCCATTTGAGCCACACTCCAGCCCTCTTTTTTGCTTTAGTTATTTTTCATATAGGGTCTGTCTCCAGACTGTGTTCCTCTTGCCTATGGCCTGCTGCATATCTGGGATCACAGGCACACACCTGGCTTATTGATTGAGATAGGGCTCTCACTAATTTTCTGCCCGGGCTGGATGTGAACCATGATCTCCCACTCTCTGCCTCCTGAGGCTGGAATCACAGGCATGAATCACAGTGTCTATCCACAAAGTACTTATTAATTACAAAGGAAAGTGATAATTTTAGAGTGGGAACATGTGGCAGATGCCATTTTAAGCAAGTGGTTAACAGCACTAGCAACAGACTATCCTGTGCTTCTTTATATGATGCACTGACAAGAACCCACCTCCACATCATTCATCCCCAAAATGCATAAACTGACTGCAGTGAGGAAATGTTAGACAAGTCAAAACTGAGGGCATTCTACAGAACATAAATGGCTTGTATTTTTCAAAACTGTCAGTCATCAAAGTCAAGAAAAAGTGGAGGAATTGGTTCTGTCAAAGAAAACTAAAGAGACACAGTAACTAAACACAACACATGATCCTGGACCAGAGAACAATGATTTCTTTTTGTCATAAAGGACATTGGTGAGAAAAGTGCCAAATAGAGCACTTCATCATCTAGATGATGTCTCAGTGTTTGCATTTTGATTTTGATTAACTGTAGCATGTTAGACATTTATTTTAGGAGTTACATGTTAAAATTAATTATTAATGGGAGGGTTATGTCATGTCTACAACTTGCTTTCAAATGTTTCTGGGGAAAATACAGAAAGACAGAAGGAAGCAAACGTGGTTAAATGTTGACCGAGGGAAGCTGGGTAAAAGGAATTCTCTGCATGTTTGCTATTTTTCTGTAAAATTAAAAATGAACAGGAAGCTAAAAAGAAAGAAGCCGTGTACATAATTACTGCTGCACTTAGCAAACGCACCCAGATTCTCAATGGTGTAATAGCGCTGCTTGTAGTCCACTTTGATGGTCTGGGCGTGAGGGCTGCCAATGCCATAACCAATGGCATAGCCTCGGACCACAATGTTCTGATTCTCTGGAGGAGTCCAGCTCACTACAATGCTGGTGACAAGAGGGCGGACGTGAAGGGAGCTAGGCACTTCAGGAACACGAGTTTCTGGGAAGGAAAGTAGAAAAGCAACATGAGATCACTCTTTAGAATACATCAGCATTTCCTAGGGGAACAGGGTTCAGCCTCCTGCCAAACTTACTACTTGGGTCCAAGAGTTCAAACAGAACCTGTATGTATAGTGAAATATGGTCCATGGTTTTACACATTATATGAAGAAAGCAAAACCCAAGCAGCCTTAAATACAAGACACTGCAATATTAATTTGGAAGTGAAGACAAAGAGATTCAGAACCTCTGCCTAATGGAGAAAAACGAAGAAAATGCCTTTCAGCATGCGTAGCACCTTGTCCCACATTTTGTTCCCTGTTCTACCAGGTGTAATGAGAAAGGTATGACAACCAAGAAATTAGAAACTTGGTGTCAACAGAAGACTGAGCATCACATTACAGCAATGGACCAATCATTGTGACTCCCCTACATAATCCATAGATCAGAAAAAATGAAATTTGAGCTCCACAACTGATTCAATTGGTAGGAGACCAAGAGGTTTTAAAGGGTGGGTAATTTATAATATCTTTCATATACTTCAAGGTATACATCACTACTTAACTTAAAAATTAGTGAAATAAGACTCAGAGTAAGAATCCAGGTCTTTGGGCTCCCAAGTACAGCACCTGTCACTGGTTAAGTGATGATATACACCCATGTGGAGTTATTCATTGAAAAACAGGTGAGAAAAAAGGCAGGGTTCCTAGGACTAAGGAAAAGGGAAACTACAACTGAAAAAAGGCACAACTGATGTGATCAGTGTTAAATTTCAGACTATCCATCTATTTAATGGCCTTGGTAAAAACCCTAACCTAAAGCACCTGCATATTTTCATCTATTCTGGCTTTGTTTAACTAGACACTTCTCTAAAAGCCACTGGGGGAAAAAACCTATCTGAGGAGCCTCGCTGCTTTACAGGAAAGAGAACAGTATACCCCTTTCCAAATCACAGCTCTAGGGCAAAGCATGCAGTTCTCCAGTCAAAGCCACTGGCTACAGTTATTATCTATCACATGCCAGCTCTCTAATTGTTCTTACCATCTAGGTCACTTTCAAAAGTTTCAGCAGACAGCCAATCAGTTGCTGGACCTGTACCATTGACTGTGAGAGCAGCCACTCGAAAATTATATTCAGTTCCTCTATCGAGACCTAAGAACCAAAAGACAAGACAAGCTGAAGCAAGAGCTTTGGAAAACACAAGATCAATAACATCTCATCAAACAACCGAATTACACCTGCATGCTGAAAAACTTACTGAAACTGTATTGCATTTGAACTTGGGACACCTGGTGGGTTTTTTTTGTGTGTGTGTGTGTAGTTTTGTTCTACTTTATGCGTCCCCTTTGATGAGACAACTACATAACAACATCTGAGGCACCATCTCCAGGACTGGAGACTGAGACGGACACCCAAATTATTAAGACTGAAACTTCATTGCATTTGAACTTGGGGTTTTTGGTTTTTTTTTTTTTTAATTTTCTATTTTCCATTTTATTTTAATTCATTTTTATATGTAGATATTTCTTTCATTCACTTATTTTTTATTTTTATTCTTATCTTTATTTTTTTAGTTTTGATTTTCAATCCTCTCTCTTTCTAATGTCTGTTCAGCTTACTGTCAATTAGTGCACTAACGCTTCCTGTTTATACCTTTGAAACTTTCTTGTCTGAAACCTTGTTCTGTTGTCTCCCTCTTGTCTGTGTATTTGTTTTCCCCTTTTCTTTAACTTCTTGCTTTCCATCTCAGCTCACCCTTCCATTCTAAATATTACCATTGTTATTATTACAAGCTAGAAAATACATAATTGCACAGTACAGGGACAGTAACAACACCAAAGACAATGATGGGAAGACGAAAAACAGGAAACCAGTTTCCCCCAAGCAAAAATAGTACAGGAACCGAAGGGAATGAAGAAAACAGAAACTCAGATCCAGATCCAACAAAATGAAGATAAACTGCCAAAGAACCCAATGAAGCCACAAATAATTTAAAAGAAGACATAAAATAGAGAATTTGAAAAAAGCAAAGAAGAAATAAAGGAAACCATAGAAGCACTGTATAAACACCAAAGTGAAACAGAGAACACAAGAATAAACATAAATGAACTCAGGACAAAAATAGACAACATTAAAGAGGAAACCACCCAGGATATGGAAAACCTCAGAAAAAAGAAGAAACAGAACTGCAAACAAAACGGAAGGCCAATCCAGCAGAATAGAACAAACAGAAGACAGAATCTCAGAACTTGAATGAAAATGGTAATTAAAGGAAAAACTGAAAGAACTATTAATTAAACAACTCAAGACCTGTGAAAAGAAAATGCAAGAACTCACCGACTCCATCAAAAGACAAACTTGAGAATCATGGGCATCGAAGAAGGAGAAGAGGTGCAAGCGAAGGGAATGCATAATATATTCAACAAAATAATAACGGAAAATTTCCCAAATCTAGAGAAAGATATTCCCATACAGATGCAAGAGGCCTCCAGGACACCAAACAGACCAGATCAAAATAGAACTACCCACGACATATCATTAAAAACAAGTTCAGAAACTAAGGAAAGAATATTGAAGGCTGTAAGAGAGAAAAAACAAGTAACATACAAAGGTAAACCCATCAAAATCACAGCAGACTTCTCAACAGAAACATTAAAAGCAAGAAGAGCGTGGGGTGAGATCTTCCGGGCACTGAATGAAAATAACTTCAACCCCAGGATACTCTACCAGCAAACTATCATTCAAAATAGATGGAGCAATAAAAGTTTCCATGATAAGCAGAAACTAAACAATATGTGACCACAAAGCCACCACTACAAAAGATTCTGCAAGGGATTCTGCACACAGAAAGTGAACCAACTTAACCATGAAAGGCAGGCAGCACCAAACCAGGAAAGAAAAAGCAAGACAAGAGAGTAACCTCAACTTAGGTACACACAATCAAACTTCAAACAACTAAGACAACTAAATGACAGGAATCACCACATACCTATCAGTACTAACACTTAATGTTAACGGACTTAATTCACCCATCAAAAGGCACTGCTTGACAAATGGATTAAAAAGAAGATCCAACAATTTGTTGCTTACAGGAGACCATCTCACCGACAGAAAAATAAGCAGGCTTAGGATGAAAGGCTGGAAGAAGATTTACCAAGCCAATGGCCCCGAAAACAGGCAGGAGTAGCAATACTTATCTCTGACAAAGTAGACTTCAAACCTACATTGATCAAACGAGATAAAGAAGGACATTCCATACTAATAAAGGGGAAATAGACCAAAAGGAAATAATAATATCAACTGTATGCACCAATGTCAATGCACAAATTTCATCAAACATACCCTGAAAGACCTAAAAGCATATATTAATGCAACACAGTGGTTGTGGGACTTTAAACCCTTCATTAATAGATAGGTCATCCAAACAAAAAATCAATAAAGAAATCAAGATCTAAAATATACAATAGATCAAATGGACCTAGTTGATGTCTACAGAACATTTCATCCAACTCTACACAATATACATTCTTCTCAGCAGCCCATGGAACCTTCTCCAAAATAGATCATATCCTAGGGCACAAAGCAAGCCTCAGCAAATATAAGAAAATAGAAATTATACGTGCATACTATCTGATCACAATGCAGTAAAATAGAACTCAACAACAAAAGTAAAGACAAAAAACATGCAAACAGCTGGAAACTAAATAACTCATTACTTAATGAAGAATGGATCATCGATGAATAAAAGAGGAAATTAAAAAGTTCCTGGAAGTCAATGAAAATGAAAAACAACCTACCGGAACCTATGGGACACAGCTAAGGCAGTCTGAGAGGAAAGTTTATAGCCATGAGTGCATATATTAAAAAGACTGAAAGATCCCAAATCAATGACCTAATGATACATCTCAAACTCCTAGAAAAACAAGAACAAGCAAATCCCAAAACAAATAGAAGGAGAGAAATAATAAAATAAGAGCTGAAATCAACGAAATAGAAACCAAAAAACCATACAAAGAATTAATGAAACAAAAAGTTGGTTCTTTGAAAAAATAAACAAGATCGATAGACCCTGGCAAACCTGACTAAAATGAGGAGAGAAAAAACCCAAATTAGTAGAATCAGGAATGCAAAAGGGGAGATAACAACAAACACATGGAAGTCCAGGAAATCATCAGAGACTACTTTGAGAACCTATATTCAAATAAATTTGAAAATCTTAAAGAAATGGACAGATTTCTAGATACATATGATCATCCAAAACTGAACCGAGGAAATTAATCACCTGAATAGATCTATAACACAAAATGAAATTGAAGCAGCAATCAAGAGTCTCCCAAAAAGAAAGTCCAGGACTGATGGATTCTCTGCTGAATTCTATCAGACCTTTAAAGAAGAACTGATACCAACCTCCTTAAACTGTTCCACGAAATAGAAAGGGAAGGAAAACTGCCAAACACTTTTATGAAGCCAGTATTACACTTATCCAAAACCAGGCAAAGACACCTCCAAAAAGGAGAATATAGGCCAATCTCCTTAATGAACATTGATGCAAAAATCCTCAACAAAATAATGGCAAACCAAATTCAACAACACATCAAAAAGATTATTCACCACGACCAAGTAGGCTTCATCCAGGGATGCAGGGGTGGTTCAACATACGAAAATCAATAAACGTAATAACCACATTAACAGAAGCAAAGACAAAAACCACTTGATCATCTCAATAGATGCAGAAAAAGCCTTTGATAAGATCCAACACATTTCATGATAAAGCTCTAAGAAAACTAGGAATAGAAGGAAAGTACCTCAACATTATAAAAGCTATATATGACAAACCTACAGCCAGCATTATACTTAACGGAGAAAAACTGAAACATTCCCTCTAAAATCAGGAACCAGACAAGGATGCCACTATCTCCACTCCTATTCAACATAGTACTGGAATTCCTAGCCAGAGCAATTAGGCAAGAAGAAGGAATAAAGGAATACAAATAGGTAAAGAAACTGTCAAAATATCCCTATTTGCAGATGACATGATCCTATACCTTAAAGACCCAAAAAACTCTACTCAGAAGCTTCTAGACATCATCAATAGCTATAGCAAGGTAGCAGGATATAAATCAACATAGAAAAATCATTAGCATTTTATAACATAACAATGAGCAAATGGAAAAAGAATGTATGAAACAATTCCATTTACAATAGCCTCAAAAAAAATCAAATACCCTAGGTGTAAACCTAACAAAGATGTGAAAGCCTCTACAAGGAAACTAACACTTCTGAAGAAAGAGATTGGGAAGACTTGAGAAGTGGAGAGATCTCCCATGTCATGGATTGGTAGATCAAATAGTAAAATGTCTATACTCCAAAGTAATCTACATGTTTAATGCAATTCCCATCAAAATCCCAATGACAATTCATTAAAGAGATTGAAAAATCTACTGTTAAATTTATATGGAACACAGAGGCCAGAATAGCCAAGGCAATACTCAGTCAAAAGAACAATGCAGGAGGTATCACAATACCTGACTTCAAACTATATTTAAAGCAATAATGATAAAACAGCATGGTTACTGGCCAAAAACAACATGAGACCAGTGGAACAGAAGTGAGGACTCCGATATGGAGCCAAACAACTATAACCTCAACTTTTGGTTTTGACAAGATGCTAAAATATTCGATGGAGGGAAAAGACAGCCTCTACAAAACATGCTGGGATAAACTGGGTTAGCAGTCTGCCAAAAAACTGAAACTAGATCCATGTTATAATCACCCGGCTATCAAGATTAATCAAAATGGATAAGATCTTATATCAGACCCCAAACTCTACATTGATACAGGACAAGACAGGAAATACTCAGGAGTTTAGTAGGTAGAGGTGAGATAACTTTCTCACGGGAACCTCAGTGCAGCACAGCAATAGAGATAGATAGATAAATTGGGACCCATAAAGCTAAAAAGCTTCGTGTTCATGCAAAGAAACATGGTCCTCTATAACTGAAAGAGACACACCCACAGAGTGGGAGAAGAATATTTCATGTTTAATGCAATTCCCATCAAAATTCCAATGACATTCATTAAAGAGATTGAAAAATCTACTGTAAATTTATATGGAAACACAAGAGGCCACGAATAGCCAAGGCAATACTCAGTCAAAAGAACAATGCAGGAGGTATCACAATACCTGACTTCAAACTATATTACAAAGCAATAACAATAAAAACAGCATGGTACTGGCACAAAAACAGACATGAAGACCAGTGGAACAGAATAGAGGACCAGATATGAAGCCACACAACTATAACAACTTGTCTTTGACAAAAGCTAAAAATATACGATGGAGAAAAGCAGCCTCTTCAACAAAAACTGCTGGGAAAACTGGTTAGCAGTCTGCAAAAAACTGAAACTAGATCCATGTATATCACCCTATACCAAGATTAACTCAAAATGGATCAAGGATCTTAATATCAGACCCCAAACTCTTAAGTTGATACAGAAAGAGTAGGAAATACTCTGGAGTTAGTAGGTATAGGTAAGAACTTTCTCAATGAAACCCCAGCAGCACAGCAACTAAGAGATAGCATAGATAAATGGGACCTCATAAAACTAAAAAGCTTCTGTTCATCAAAAGAAATGGTCTCTAAACTGAAGAGAACACCCACAGAGTGGGAGAAAATATTTGCCAACTATACATCAGACAAAGGACTGATAACCAGAATATATAGGGAACTTAAAAAACTAAATTCTCCCAAAACTAATGAACCAATAAAGAAATGGGCAAGTGAACTAAACAGAACTTTCTCAAAAGAAGAAATTCAAATGGCCAGAAAACACATGAAAAAATGCTCACCATCTCTAGCAATAAAGGAAATGCAAATTAAAACACTAAGATTCCACCTCACCCCTGTTAGAATAGCCATCATCAGCAACACCACCAACAACAGGTGTTGGCGAGGATGCGGGGAAAAAGGAACCCTCTTACACTGTTGGTGGGAATGTAGACTAGTACAACCACTCTGGAAAAAAATTTGGAGGCTACTTAAAAAGCTGGACATCGATCTACCATTTGATCCAGCAATACCACTCTTGGGGATATACCCAAAAGACTGTGACACAGGTTACTCCAGAGGCACCTGCACACCATGTTTATTGCGGCACTATTCACAATAGCCAAGTTATGGAAACAGCCAAGATGCCCCACACTGACGAATGGATTAAGAAAATGTGGTATCTATACACAATGGAATTTTATGCAGCCATGAAGAAGAACGAAATGTTATCATTCGCTGGTAAATGGATGGAATTGGAGAACATCATTCTGAGTGAGGTTAGCCTGGCCCAAAAGACCAAAAATCGTATGTTCTCCCTCATATGTGGACATTAGATCAAGGGCAAACACAACAAGGGGATTGGACTTGAGCACATGATAAAAGCGAGAGCACACAAGGGAGGGGTGAGGATAGGTAAGACACCTAAAAAACTAGCTAGCATTTGTTGCCCTTAACGCAGAGAAACTAAAGCAGATACCTTAAAGCAACTGAGGCCAATAGGAAAAGGGGACAGGACTAGAGAAAAGGTTAGATCAAAAAGAATTAACCTAGAAGGTAACACCCACGCACAGGAAATCAATGTGAGTCAATGCCCTGTATAGCTATCCTTATCTCAACCAGCAAAAACCCTTGTTCCTTCCTATTATTGCTTATACTCTCTCTACAACAAAATTAGAGATAAGGGCAAAATAGTTTCTGCTGGGTATTGAGGGGGGGGGGAGAGGGAGGGGCGAGTGGGTGGTAAGGGAGGGGGTGGGGGCAGGGGGAGAAATGAACCAAGCCTTGTATGCACATATGAATAATAAAAGAAAAAAAAAAAAAAAAAAAAATAATAATAAAAAAAAAAAGCTAATAAAAGTACATGATTTACAATGCATTTTTAGAGCACTTAAACATAAAATTCTGGTAGGCCTTTGGAAAGCACCACAGTACAGAAACTCCAAAGACAGAAATATCGAGAATGTAAATAACTTGGCCAGGATGCAAGATACACCATGGCTCAGTTAATCAATTCTGACATAGGGTACACATGGAGAGATGGAAGGCTCTGCTCTGTATGGGAGGTCCTGAATCTGTCTGCCCACAAGCAAGCAAGGACAGAAAGAGGAGCGATATAGTTGGGACCAAGACAGTTTATCTCCCTGTGTTGTCTCAGCACACACCAAATGACAAAGTGCTAGAGTGGCTGCACACGTATGTGTAACTGTAAATAGTCAACAGCCTGGACTACTAGCATACATGGCTCAATTAAGATCTTGAAAGAATCCAACCAGTAATATTATCATCCCCTGTCTACTGAGGAGAGTTAGAATATAACATTGATGTGTGTGTGCCTGTGTGTGTGTGTAGAGGTATGTGTAAAGAGACTAAGAGTTTCTCTGTAAGTAACTGAGTTTACAAATCTAAGGCATACAATACATATAAAAAAAGATATGGCAGAATGTGTTAAGTGCTATAACAATTCTGGCTACAACTTAATCACGTAATTTATTATTGAGGACAGGATCTTGGCAATCTGTATCGCTGCCTAGTACTTATCAAGCTTCAAGTTAATGCTTCAGGAGAGCAAGGATTCTCCCTCCCTCCCTTTGTTTCCTGGATCTCCACTTCTGTTCACCATTTATATATTCAGTTGGGAACATGCTTACAAAGAACAGCTGTCTTTATTCTGTAGGTTTTTTTTTTTAAACAGATGCTTAATTCAACAGCAGATCATGACTGTAGTCTGAGCAGATCCCATCCTGCCCTCTCTTTCATTAGATTAGCACTGCCTAGACTCTGTTCTCCTCAGCCTGCAGGAGAATCCCAAGATTCTCCTGCAGAAGAACCTTGCCCCTGCTTATCACCTCTATCTCTCCTATTTGTAGAAGAAAGAGGAGAATTCTTTGTGACCCATAGGAAGAACCCATTATTAGATATACACTTGGGACCATTTTTTCCAGGTGTCCCTCACAGGGGATGGGGGGGGGGGGAACTATATGTGGAAGAACTGTCTAAAACTTTCATAGTGTCCCTGGTAGCAGTGTAATTATTACATTATTGTAGCTATTCAAATATTTTTCCAGGCTTACATACATGAGTGGTGCTGGTGCTACAAAAAGTTTTGTGGACCTCTGTTACTAACTAAAGTGAGTAATTTCCTTACTTATAGCTCTATTTTACTTTTCTTAGATTACAGAAAAGCAAAATATCAATTAGAAAAGAGAATGTAGAGAATACAAGGAGATAAAAGCAAACACAATCTTGCCCTCAGAGGTGGTGGAAGCTGTAAAAGTATTTTCCATTAATTTCTATTAAAATTTGAGGGATCTGTTTTTAATTTGTTTAAAGTCAACAGCTTAGGAGTCCTCAGACTAGCATAATTCAATGTCTGACAAAGATACCACCTCCTAGCTTTTGCCTATTTACAAAGCAGCTTACCTTCAATCAGTTGAGACAGCTGTGTCCCAGTTACCAAGGTCTCAGTGACATCACTCTTTCGGGAGGCCTTTCGGTGGCGAATCTTATAGCCAGTAATCTGCCCATTTTGTGTGGCTGGAGAAGGTGGCTGCCAGTAAATCATAATACTCTGGGAAAGACAGCAATATAGGGAAAAGACTGAACACAGTGAAGGGCTAGTCCTAGCTGTTGTGTATATTATTAACCCTGACATCACTGTGTGAAAGAAGGAACATACAGACAGCGAGTTTTTAGAATTTCACAAAGTGATTTCACCGTCACTCAAAAATACTTTTAAATTCTAACACTCTCAATGGTCAAATGGGGAGATTACATTTTCAAGTAGTACATTCTGGACCCTTACTCTCTTGGGTATTGGTTGGTGAGAAGCCCCAAAAACGTTTTCAGAAGGAAAGTAAAAGAAGGTCAGAGGCACATGGATTAGGAAATAAATAGGTTTAATGATTCTTTCCCACATCCAATGCAAAACAATTTTGTTTTTCTGTTTGGCGTAGTAGGGTTTGAACTCAGGGCCTCATGCTTGCCAGGCAGGTACTCTACCACTTGAGCCACTCCACCAGCCTGATGCAAAACAGCTGAGAAGAAAAAAATTTCCATTTAAAACTCTTCAAAACGAGGATCATTAACTAACAGCTGGTTGCGTCTTGAAGAAGAAAAAGATCCCTATAGTACTTTTTGAAAGGACTATTTCACTTGTCTATGGAGCTAGAAGGGGCTCTAGGCCTCTGAGAGGCATCTGTGGCCCCATGTGCAATGATCTGACCAGAGGAATGATGTGAGCAGACACAACCAAATCTACAAGTGTCTGCCTTGGGTACACACTGGGCTCATCTCACAGTACTAAGGGTCCATGTCATCATAAACAACTGACTTTTGACACATCACCAAGGTTTTGAACAGTTAAGATCTAAAATGTTATGTTATCTTTAAATATACAAAAATGTCTGTTTTTAAAAAAACAGAGAACAGGAAGGCAAAACACATCCTGCATGGGGGCTGGAACCAGTGGGAGGGGGGAAGATATAAGGAAAGAGTGTAGGAGGGTGAATATGGTAGAAATATTATGTACTCATGTATGAAAATGGAAAAATAAGACCTGTTGAAACTATTAAAATAATGGGGGGAAGACAAAGGAGAATGACGGAGGGGGTGAATCTAACTAAGATATATTATAAGCACTTTTGCAAATGTCACAATGTACTCCAGTACAATATAGTAAAAAAGAAAAAGAAAAATCTAAACAACAGAAATCATAAAAAATAAATAAGCTGCCATGTTTATATAAAATAGCCATTTATTTATAGCAGGCTAAAGAAGTTTTGGCATTGAAAAAAGGAAATAAACTTAAAATGAGATGGTTTCTAAGCTCAGCTTTATTAGCAAGTGTGACACCTACATTGACTTATTTTTTTGGTTAACTGTAAACTTTTCCAGTTATGTTACAATTTAATAGGTTAGTATTTGTAAAACCAAATAAAGTGTTGTAACACTAGCATTCACTAGTCTGATGTCTTCCTTCGGAATCTCTGCTCTATAAGCCCCTCTGGCGCTGTACACCAGTAAAGTGAGCGACAACACTACTAACTTTTACCTTTGAATTTCTCACTTCTAGGGACACATTCTGAGGAGCAGCACTGGGAACTAGACAGGCAAAAAAAAAGAAAGAGAGAAATTAGTCACTCACATATCACCCACCAAGTGGTTGTTCTTGGCAGCCTTCACATAGGACTCAACCCAGCTGCCATGGTACCAGGGGATGAAGCATGGCCATGTCTGATTCACACGAACAGGTATCCATACCCAAGTCAGATCCTCATTTCAACGATGCAGTGCTTCTGAACTCTTCTAGACAATAAGTTACTAAACTCCAATATACTCTAAACTGCAAACATATTCTGAATATTCATCCTGGGTAAGAGTCATGCATTTTCTGGAACCAAGTCTGCTGTATGTGGAAAGTGACGAACTGGGTAATGACGATACGGACCGAAATGAGATGTACATAAAACAGTGAGCTGGCTTTTTTCTGGGGTTCTTACTCTGTTTTGAAGGCAATTTTTAAGGAGAGACTTCAGCAATGACAGCTTCAGGAAAGTGAACTATCTGGCTTCCCAAGCAATCACGTATCAGAAGCACTCGTTTAGATAGAAGTTAGGGCTTGTGGGTTAAACAAACAGTTGCGTGAGTTTAGTTCCTCACATCTAGAAAGTAACACAGGGTATATGAAAGCCCAGGGACTACACACTACCCAGCATCTCCTTGTAGTGATGACAGCAAGTGACGAACACTTTAACTAGATCTGTTTTGTTTTCTCTCCACTCATAAAATGCTGGTTTTAGCCCTTCTCTCCTAATCCATCCGCAAGAACTTCTTTCTTCCTTTCTCTAACGTTTGGCAACCTGCTCAAGTTTCTGGAAGGCAGACAATATGCCTTGCTTGTGGTTATTGTAACTTGTGTCCAGCAAAATGCCTTAGGCCTCAAGCCAGAGTCATGTGCAGAGGGTCTAGAGTAGGACCCAGGTATTTGTGTTTTGAAAATAGTCCACCAATGATTCCAATCCTTTCCATGTTAAGAAATGACTCAGCTGCAGAGGCTCCAACATAGTTTTGACTGCTGTCCTCTTTGTCATCCTCACAGCTGAGCTTTGTTACATGCTCACTGTGTGGCAGTACCTAATCCCCTCAACAATGTCGAAGAGGTTTCTACTATTATTTCTATTTTTATAGACATAGGGAAGATAACTTGCCCTAGGTATTTGTTCCAGCTGGCATAGGACCAAGATTTGCATTACTCCAAAGTGCTGCCCTAAACCACCATACTAAGACACACTCAGACCACTTAGTTTCCTCTTAATGTTTCCTAAAAATCTTGAACAACTGGCTTATGTAGTTGGCTAGCCAAATTATAGTTTCTATTTCTTTTACCCAACCTTTTATCTTGAAAAATGTCAAGTCCACAGAAAAAAACAGCAAGAATAGTACAATTGCCATTCTATATTCTTTTACTAGTTATTGATATTCTGCAACATCTGCTTTACTTTTCTCACTGCAAATGTATACATATACATTTCTATCCACATTATTTCTGAATTATCTGAGAAATAGTTATGCCATTGTGACACTTTACTCTTAAATTCTTAACTCAGTACTTTACCTCCTAAGAACAAGGATGGTCTCCAACAGAACTATGATACAATGATCACATCTGGAAAGCATAATCTTGACATAAAATATTATCTAATACACCTAGCAACATTGCCTAGTACTGTATATATCTACCATTAAGCATGCCAACAGTGTCTCATACAGCTGCTTTTACCTCCAGATCCAGGATCTAAACATTATACATGTTTTATTTTATTTCATGTGTCCTTTGCTCTTATTTAATCTATCTTTTTTTTCTTTTACAAGCTAATACATTTTAAGAATTAAGGTCAGTTTTTAAAAATTTTTAAAAAAATTGCAGAGCTTCTCTCAATTTGAATATGCCTGGCTACTTTATCGTGATCAGATTCAAGTTCAATATTTCGGGCAGGAATACAATGGGGGTGAGACTGATGTATCACATCAGAGGCACAAGATGTTAGTCTTTTTTTTTACTGGTGATGTTAAGGTTTAATCATTTGCTTAAGAGAGTTATACTACAGCTTCTAAAGCACACACATGTGTCTGTGTATTATATACATATAGACATACTTTTTAAAAGACACTGTTATAAAACACTGAATTTAGCCAAGTTTCATGAAATAACAGATACCCTTACTAACATTTTCTGCTCTGAATTATTTTTTTAAATGGTGGTCTTAACCTACTTAATCTGTCTGGCAAGCTAAATTTGAAAACTATTGTTCTAGGTCATGGATATGTGTATGTAACTTTACAATTCAGTCACAGGTGAAAAATGAAACATACAAAATTCCGAGGAATTAAAAACACCAATTTGGCAAGTAAATATGACTGCTAAGCAGAATAGGATAGTCTTCTGATAGCCCTGAAATGGTCCTGTGTTATGAATACGGCAACAGCATTTACTTACAGAGAAGACTCAGCCTAAAAATTCCAAACATTGATAACTGTTTCGTATCAGCACCACATATTCTATACTTGGTCATGGATATGTGTATGTAACTTTACAATTCAGTCACAGGTGAAAAATGAAACATACAAAATTCCGAGGAATTAAAAACACCAATTTGGCAAGTAAATATGACTGCTAAGCAGAATAGGATAGTCTTCTGATAGCCCTGAAATGGTCTGTGTTATGAATAAGCAACAGCATTTACTTACAGAGAAGACTCAGCTAAAAATTACAAACATTGATAACCTGTTCGTATCAGCCACCACATATTCTATACTTTCTCAGTGAATCTTTATAGCAACCCAAAGAAGTTGATGTTCCCTACATATTACATGCTCAGAAACATGCTCAGAAAAGTGACTTGACCAATGTCTACACTACCAGCAAGGTGTACAACTGGAATGTGAGCTGAACCTTCTTAACACCAAAGCCCACAATCTTACTATTATACCACATGGGGCATTCAAGACAGGAAAAAAGACTCACCATCTGACAATGTTCGAACAGCGACATCCTGTGTGGAGACTCCAGGACCATGTTTATTGTAGGCCACCACTCGAAAACTATACTCTGTATATTTTTTTAACCCATTAATGGTGTAGGAGTGACTTGAAACATCAACATCCTTAAATAAAATAAAACACTGCATATGTACTCTACTCAAGCTAAAAGAAATGCTACAAAATAATTATCTAAATAAGTTCTATATTCTACAATATACAGTTTTTACTTTTTACAGAATGTTATTTAATAGTCAAAGCAAATTAATCATAAGCAGTTAACAATTTACTTAGAAATATTACTTGATGTTTAATGACCCTTGCTGGTAAAAACCACAGGAAAAAATCCTGGTAAAATGAAACAAACTTGCCAACTCCCCCCCGCCTTTTCTAGTCAAGCAACTACTGAGTTTTGAAAATAGTAGCAGAATTACAACCAATGGTTTAAAAAATGATTTTGTTTTATACCTGCTCTTTATCAGTCCCTTTTTCCATGTAGTACAGTTTATAGTTCTGAATTTCCCCATTGCCAGACAGTGGTGTTTCCCACGTAATGGAGATGGAAGTAGGTGATGCTGCATAAGCTCGGATGTTAGGTGCTGGGCCGGGGAGCTGAACTGCAAAGGAAATTTCAAGAAAGCAAGATGTAAATGAGATTTCCTCATTCCTCAACAACCACTCTCAGCGATGCTGTTAGAATCAGTAAAAGCTTCGAAAATAATTGCTTTGACAAGTGGTTTTAGGAAATATGTATTTTCCTTTCTATGACTCAAAAAATAAAAGCCAGGTATTATCTGTTAAAAAATAAATCTCCAATTTATTCAAAAAGAGAAGAATGTATGAAAGAACTCTTTTGTTGGTTTATAAAAATCCCAGTTTGTAGTGAGACTAGGTATCACATCAACCACCCACCGCAAGAAGAAAACCTTGCTCCGCCAGAGGGTGTAATAGGCCCTGGGGACACAGTGATGGGCAGTCTCTCCTGCAGAGGACTCCCAGTGTAGTGTGAGGTCAGGCATACCCATACTTACAAACCATGTTGTAAGTGTGAACAGATTCTGTAATGGTTACAGTGAGAACAAGAGAGAAGAGTACAAGATTCTGATCTGGGAGGGGCTGGACAGGGAAAGGAAGAATTGATGAAGACTCTGAGGTGCAAAGTCAGTCAGTCTCCTCAGACACCAAGGGGAAAATTACTCTGTCAATGGGGTCAATTAGGAGGACATATGCAAAGACAATGGCCTGTGGTTTAGATGGCAGAAACACAGAATGGGTGTGGGAGAGAGTGGTGAAGATGATAGGACCCAGAGTGAAGAGCCTTTAAGGTCCTGCTACGGAGCTCAGATTTTCTCTAGCCAGTGCCAGGCACTGACTAAGAGGAGCAGGACCATGACATGATCAGGTCTGTGTTTGGGGAGGACATGTGAACACATGCATGGAAGAGTAATGGTAAAGGAGCAAGACTGGATAAAGGAATAATCTCAATTTTTAAAATAGCTGCCATTTATTGAATATTTATAATCAGTGAAACATCCAAGTTCAACACTGACATGTTTTTTTAAAATTTAATCTTTGCACTAACACAAATGAGATGGATACTTTTACCACCCTTATTTACAGGTGAGGATTTGAGGCCAAGAACCTTTTCAAGTGATGGGGAAGCTACAGCAGTAGAACCAGAAGTTGGGCACTTTCTGAGCTAAAACGTGAGCTCAAGACCAGTGAGGAGACTTGTGCAGTACCTTTGACTTGTTGACTGTCAGACTGCACATCCAATTCTACAGTGGCTTACACCCTAATCTTTACACTATATTATTTTTTCTGACTGACAGGTGCTAGTTCAAATTTGTATACAAATCCTGGGTAGTTGCCCATGCCTATACTTTGATAGATATTCTATATTTGAAAACAATTTCTCTGGCACTAGTATCTCTGTAATAAGACACCCATTAGAGACTAGGAAGGGGAAAAAATCCCTAACTAAATGTAAAGCAAACTAGCTTTCTTCAATAACAGCACTATGACTTAAAAATTTTTTTGCTACTAAAGTAGAGAAACCTGAATATAGTTATTCTAACAGCTGTTTGCTTTATTTAGTCATGAATCACTTAATGTTAAGTTATTCACTTAATGTTAACAGTATATTTTGTGTAGCCTGACAGGTGGGATTTGTCACACTTCTGCTGCTATGGAAAACTTTCCTCTAACTTAACTAAAGGGGAAAGAAAATAAAACAGATTCTAAATTCCCTTGAAATTACTGTCAATATATTCATTGGCTAAGTGCAGGCAAATATGATCCTAAAAAAGACCTAATGAATTCTTTCATTTCAGCCATACAGTGGCATAATAAATAGAAGTTTTAAGTGGGCTTGGGAGGCTAAACATGTGAAATATTTTCCAAGGGCTGACTCCAACACTGACACCTCCTCCACACAAGCTGAATACCTCCAGATGAAGTGCAAATCTCTCCATTCCCTGCTCCAAAATACCATCACTAGAACTTGTTGCCTCTTCCATCTGTAATCTTGCTTAACTACCGTCTCTTAACCAGACCCCTTGAACAAATGATTGTGCCGATTATAGTACCTCACAGTATTGTACATTTATCTGTCTCTCTGGTATCAGACCATAAGCTCCCGTGGACAAGTAAAGGCTTTTTCATCATTACATCCTGACTGCCTAATACAATGATTGCTGGCACCCAGCAGGCACTCAATAAAGCAACTCTTCATGACCTCTTCTCTTTCATCTCTAAACTTGACAATGACCCTTACTTGAGTGGTTCTCAACAATTTGACTCACAAAAGTCTGAGACGATGAAAGCTATAGATTTATTGTAAATATATATGAACACAAAATTCTTTTTTTTTTTTATGGCACTGGGATTGGAACCTTAGGGCCTTGCCTTGCTAGGCAGGTGCTCTACCACTTGAGCCACATCTCTAGCCCTTTTTTGCTTTAGTTATTTTTCAGGTAGGACCTTGAATTTTTGCCTATGGCCAGTCTCAGACCACCCTGCCTCTTACGTAACTGGGATCACAGACGTGGACCACCATGCCCAGCTATTTTTGTTGAGATGCAATCTCCCTAATTTTTTTACCAGGGCTGGCCTCAAACTGCAATACTCCTGATCTCTGTATCCCAAGTTGTGAAGATTACAGGTGTGAGTCACAATACCTGGCTGACACACAAACAGTTTCACATAGTTTCAGAAGGCTCACAGTCCCAGGATAGAATCTGGCATTGGATCAAATCCTGGGGTCTTCCCTTTGTTTTTACCACGACTTACCTTGCATGTGCAGTGATCCTATTTCTGGGATTTGCGTATGCAGTTTCCTTCTCCAAAAATGGCTATACAAGTCCCATGCTTCAAGACCAACCTTCCTACGATCCTCATCCTTCCTACAATCCTGCCGTGACTTAGCTATTGTTTTAAGTAATTCTTCCTTGTTCTGAATCCCCGTTACCTCTCATGTATGATGCCTGCACTTACAAGCTAATGAAAGGTAACTGAGCTTGAACTCTAATTGAGAACCCCCTCACTAATATGCGTAACCATGGAATGCAACATCCTTTTTCTGTAATGAGAATCTATTCTTCCCTTAAATCAACCCCTGGACCTTTTGATGACCCTCGTGTTCACGTCTGAGTTTGATTCCTGAACTTCCATCTCTATTACTGGAGTGGTCAATGGCCTCCTATCTTCATTGCCTTTTTTTTTTTTTTTGAGTATTAGGATTGAACTCAGAGCCTTGTGCTTGGTAGGCAAGGGCTCTACCACTTGAGCCATTCCACCAGCCCTTCACTGTTCATGTCTTAAGAGTTGAAATCTTATCTTGTTCATCCTTGTATTTCAATGCTTTGCCTGGAATAGAAGGTACTCAAATGTTTGATGAGTAGTTTGCTATAGAATTCAAAAGCACAGTCGCAGAGCTTCCTGACTTTATTCTTGAGTTACTTCCACAGCCTCACTGGTAAATTCATTCATTCAGCTCATTCTGCTGAGTTTCAGGTCAGTAGTTTTTATATACAGTACCCTACTCAAAGCATGTTTTGAGGTTTGTGAACACAGAAAAGCTAGTGCACTAATAGTAAAGGCAGACTAAAGAATGTGCCGAGGAAAAAACAGTGCTTGTGTTAAAAGTCTTAAGTCTGGAAAAAAGGTTAAAGTGGGAAAAACATAAATCATGACTTGTTTCTCATTTTAGGCTCAAAGTTTATAACCAACAGTTAAAAGTACACAGGCTATTTATAATATAAGCCAACCTGACTCATCTCAGTCACAGAAACTCTCAGATACGTAATTAGAAGTAGCACTATTTAACACAAAAGAGCAGTTTCAAAATAAATGCTCCAAGAGTTTCTAGTGAGCGAAGTATGCATGAAGATAGGACAATACAGTTGGTGACAATTATAAATACAGAAAGCCTGTCTTATACGTGATTTATTACACATGGTTTTGACCAGTCAAGAAAAATTAAAGAAACAAAAGAAATTTAAAAAAAATTTGTGCATTATGCAGCTTGATGGATGTGGAGAAGCTGTCAGTCCCTTATTACCGGCAGTTGTGTTTCAAATCCTTGTGTTATCTGCTGAGTGTTTACCTGTCCTTAATTTTGTGAAAATCTGCCTTCTAAAAAGCAAATGGTTCCCCAAGAGCAAGGCAAATGTTAATGTGCTTAATTTAAGTGATAAAGTGAAAATCTGAGATTTGTTGAAATGCATCATGTCTTTAGTGAAAGTTGGGTGGCATTATGAGAAAAATGAATCAAGCATCTACAGTACAGTACTGAACTCTATGTATCCTAAGTATTTATGGTTTCTCCTCTGTGACAGGCTCCTTGGAACAGACAGGTGGATATCAAGGGTCATGTTCAAAGCACTAACCATTAGAAAGCGAGAAATAGTCATAATCATAAATGAAAGAATAAAGTGATAATGTACCTCAGAATTTCAGAGGTATAAGATTACCTAGGCTTAGAAGAAAGATTCTTCTTAATCTTTCTTAAGGATCAGTAAATATGAATATGTACAAAACGATAATAGACTTACACTGTCTTATACTATTTGTTATTGTTCAATGGAAATTCATCTTGTCTTCCCTAACCTCATAAGAACCAAGGATGGTGATGTAGCTTAATGGTAGAGGGCTTGCCTATATGTGCAAGGCTCTGGGTTCAATCCCCAGCACCACAAGAAAACATAAAAGACCTTGATAATAAGAAACTGTTCTCTTCTGATTCCCTATAACATACAAGGATAAACGTAAAGCAGACCTTCATACAGGTCTCCCTCTGGATGGGGCTGACAGACAGGTGAAGACCTACCTTCAGGTTGTGTTTCCACGCGTAGTGGAGCTGAACTCTCTCCCAAGCCATGCTTGTTATGAGCCGAAACTTTGAAGATGTACACAGTTGCTGGCATTAAGTTTTGAATGGTTACCTGCATCTCTCCTGGGCGACTGGTATTCTCAATACGCTCCCTTTGGACAATGAAGGATTTAGAAAGAAATAATATCAATTAGGAAATTTCTAGTTTCAACTTCTAGTTCACATCAAAGTCTAATAACTTAAGCCAAATTAACTCTCAAAAAAGTGAAACTCTTGGGGGTAAACAGTGTACACTACAAGTCAGAAGTGTGACGGAAGAGCAGGCTGCTGACAGGGTGTTGATGTTCTTGCTGAACCTTTGCTGACATCACAGATCACAAACACAGCCATTTCAGAGCAGACCTGGCTCTTAGTGCTATTTCAAATGGGGCAGGGGTCATTGGCTTTGTAGGTTTAAAATCACTGAGTTTTAAGGAGTGATTCTAAGGGAAATGGACAGAAGGTGGTTATAGGTATCATCTAATTTTCACAGAAACTATCAAGGAGACTCAATAAAAAGAAAACAAGGTAATCGCTCTTTAAAAAATTGGGAGCAAAATTATTAAAATCTAAATGTAACTAAATCTATTTTTAAAAGGTGATTCATGACACTTGATTTTTCCCTCCTCCTTGGGTGGTACTGGGGTTTGAACTCTGTGCTGTACATGTGTTAGATGGGTACTCTATCACTTGGGCACAATTTCACCTCTTTGTGCTTTGGTTATTTTGAAGATAGGATCTTGCTTTTTGCCAGCCTGGATCACAATCCTATTTTAAGCTTCCCACTACAGCTGGAATGACAGTTGTGTGTCACCACACCAAGCTTTTTTCTGTTGAGATAGGGTCTTGCAAACTTTTTTGCTCAGGCCAGAACCACAGTCCTCTTGTTCTCAGCCTCCCAAGTGGCTTGGGATGAGAGGCACATACCTCCATGTCCAGCTATTGGTTAAGGTGGGGTCTCTTGAACTTTTTTGCCCAGGCTTACCTGGCTGACACTAATTTTTATAACTTTTTTTTGAGGGGGCAGTACTGGAGATTGAACTCTGTACCTTACAATTATTAGGCAAGCACAGTATCACTTGACACATGTCCCCTGCCCTTATAATTTAATTCTTAAAACTAATATTCCTTTTGAATGATTTTCAAGCTGATCTATAGGTTTGACAAATGGAGGAGTGTGGTATTAGGAGATGAAAATGTAAGAGCATTTATCTAGATTCCTTACAAAAAGGTAGCTTCCAGGCTCTCTGCTGGGGGTTTGTGTGTCCAACTTAGGTCTATAATTATGCTTAGTTTAATGTACCTTCTATAATGAAAACCAGATTATGTTATAAATGAGTTTTCAACAAATAATGTAAAGGAATTTGTTTTAGACAGCTGGCCTTTGTCATTCATGTAAGAAAAGAGCTGTACTTATCTTGAAAATGAAATGAAAAACTCTCAGAAGCACTCTGGAAGAAATTATGTAGCAGAAACTATTCTGAATTGCTTAATCTGTTAAATTAAAATTGTTACATTAAGCTGGGTGTGATGGCTCATATCTATAATCCCAGGTACTTGGGAGGTAAAGATGGGAAGGGTCATGATTTGAGGCCAGCCCAGGCACAAAATTAGTGAGACCCCATCTCAACAAATAAGCAGGGTATTGTGGTACATGTCCAGCTATGTGTGAAGCATAGGTAGGAGGATCACAATCCAGGTCAGCCAGGGCAAAAAGCATATTTAAAAATAACCTATAGCAAAAAGGGTTGGAGGTATGGCTCAAGTGGCACAGTGCTTGCCTAGAAAGCACAAGGCCCTGAGTTCAAACTCTAGGACCACCCAAAATCCCCCAAAATAACAAACAAGGACTCCTTCCCCCTCCCACCAAATACATTGCCAAGTTGTCTTGAAATTGCTGATTAGAATTTGTTTGGGAGCATGTGACAATGTCGAGTTGTCTGATTACACGTGAACAGCTGCATTTGAGATTTAAGTGTCTTAAGTAGTTTTAAGTGTTTTAAATAGTTTAAATAGTTTTAAATAGCTTTCTATAGTTCTTCAATGTACTTCATTTTCATTAAACACACACATAACACATTAGGGCTGGGGGTGTGGCTCAGGGGTAAGAGTGCTTGCCTAGTTCCCAGCAAAGTCTTAGGTTTAATCTATGGAACCACAAAAACAACAAAAGCATCCAAAAGGCCAAAACAATAAAAAGCAAAACTAAAACTTATACACAACAACCAAAAAACCCAGTACCCACACAGTATTTATACTATTCATAGGTTCTTACAGTATAATCGGTTAGGCCCACTGGAAAAGAACACTGTGGTAACAAAAAATGATTGTTCAGATATTCTTGAGATAGCTATAAAACTATTTTGTCTTTGGCTGAACCTCTACGTCACAGGATTTAGAAGGAGGGCATCAACTGATTTCTTACACTGTGAGGTTTCTGATACTGGGTTTGATCACAAATGCTTGCTGTTTAATAGGAAGTATTGTGTTTTGCACTAAACTAAAAGCTCCACAACAGAGCACACATTGGGTCCCTTTTGCTCACTCTGCATATAAAAATTTAATTGACCTCCCTCCTAGAGAGAAACCTTAAAGCAAAGTGGAAGACTGTTGCATTCCTGCTCCCATGCACAGAAGCGTTGAGCGGCTGTGCCCCCAGGGAAGCCACACATATGTACTGAATGGATGAATGGAGATTTGCCTTCTGGTGGGTGACACTTACAGTGGCAGGATCATGCAGATCTTGTTGGCTCCTCTCTGAAAATGTGGAAATGAAAGCACTGAAACAAATCTCTACAGGAGCCTTACTATGAAAGGAAATCAGTCTGAGATGTGGCTCCTTTAGATAAGAGCACAGCATCTGCAAAAGCTCTGGTACTGGCCTGGCCCATGGTCCCAGAAACAACCTTGATTTAGGACAAGATCCGGGGAGAGTCAGGAAGGGCAATCCTCATAAATATGTGGGACTACAATGGGATTTAGGTTAGAATGGAATGCCGAAGGATCAAAACAGAAGGAAACGCTTTACATTAAGTCAGTGCTGGGCCAGGAGCGAGGAGACCCAATTCTAGCTATGCAATGCTGCAGTTTACCAGGGTGGTGGTAAGGCACGAGCTCTTCCTGAGCCCCACCTTCCTTAAGTGTTCAATGAAAGAATGAGACATGAGACGGTCTTGAAAGTGCCTGATAATAAATATTTACAGATCAACAGGCAAAATGCAGAACATTATGTTCTTACTAATACAACCTTTCAAAATGTAACTATTTAAAAATGTAAAAACGAAATAGTTGGAATGTAGGTTAGTATTATAGTGCTTGCCTAGCCCAAAGCCTTGGGTTTGATCAGCAATCAAGAAAATAAAAATATGAAACTATTATTAGTTCTTGAGCTATAAAATAACACCTCTTACATGGCCTGGGGTCCATAGTTTGCCAACCCCTGGCCTAGCTTTATAGATCTCTAAGGCTTCATCCATCTCTAAAATGCTATTAATATCAGAAAGAAGTACTCTCTAATCTTCACTTAATAGCCAGTACCAGAAAAGTACTACGGATTAAGTTAAAGGCATTAAATAATAAACAAGATAAAAACTTTATACCTGAAAAGGCAAAGGAGGAGGGATCCTCTGGAATCCCGGTCAGGTTCCCAACAGAACTATTGCTCATGACTAAATCACATAGTGCCACCTGATGGATGAATTTTCAAATGCAGGAAGTGGGGGGATTTGCATATGAAGGTAGTGGCCTACATCCTTTCATTGAGGTATAATGAGTTTTGTGAGCTAATTTATTACCCTTGGTTTTAGATGAGAAAATTTATGACTAGGATGGCTAAATAAATACTGTTTTTAAAGAAATACAAGTAAGCAGGATATACTCTTTTGACTCAAATCACAAACTTATGCTAGGTCTAGACCACATGCACCTGGCTAGGAAACGCCCATGCCCCTCCCCACTTGTTCATCATTGGGTGGGAATCTGCCCTCCATGGGTTAGGGTAGGTTTTAAAAGCATCTGAAAAAGAAAAGCACCCTCTCTTGGCCAGCAGATTCCACCTGCACTCTACCATGCTCCCTTTGTATTTCCTTTCCCTTTTAATAAACACCAGTTACACCCACACATTCTGCTTGGATTCTTCCACACTGGAATGCAAGAACCAAGGTCTTTTCAAAACACCATTTGCCATTAACAGTACCACCAAACAGTTGTTGTTACAACAAAACCCCCAAACCCACAAACTTAAAGTAATAGTTTAAGTAACAAAAAGTATTAGGATTTCAACGACTCTTCCTTTTAAATAGTTCCCAAATTTACCCCATCAACTCCAAGTCACTGTTCTCATCTTCTTCTGGGCTTACATGTAGAGATGAACATATCTGCTATTAGTTTGTCTCCCTGGTTTCCTGGTTCCTAATCTTGTGGAGTACTCCCAAAGTGTAATACTCATAATACAATCTAGGTAATGCAATCACAGCACACAGTTACTCAAGAGTCTATAATGGTGCTTTCTTTTCTATGTCTATATTCTTACTGACATTCCAACATCTAGTTCTGAACTGCCACTGTACTTTAATATCTAATTCCTACCAAAAACTTCTGGGTCAGTCAGGATAGCTTTCTGGCCACCCAATTCCTCCTCACACCAGACACCCAAGTGGAACGAGACCCTGACCTTACATTTTCTCTTTTTTATACATACTTATCTCATTTGCCTGCTCCTGCCAACTTAACTTCTATATTTTTCTCAACTCCAACTCCATTTACTAATCATACCTGCTTACTCCACCCCATGACCCATTAATTAAAATTTTTAAATGAGCTGGGCTCTTGTCTGTAATCCTGGCTGCTTGGAAGGCCGAGATTCAGAGGATTGCAGTTCCAGGCCAGCCCAGGCAAAAAGTTCACAAGACTCTATCTCAACCAATAGCTGGGTATAGTGGTGTACACCTACCTGTTACCTCAACAAAGTGGGACATATAAAATAGGAGGATTTTGCCCAGCTAGTCTGGGCAAAAACAGACCTTATCTTCAAAATAACTAGAGCAAAAAATGTTGGAGGTGTGGTTCAACTGGCATCGTGCCTGCCTAGCAAGTGTGAAGCCTTGAGTCCAAACCCTAGCACCACAAAAAAAAAAAAAAAAAAAAAATCTATGTAAGGGATTTTCATTAAAAACATATGAATCAAAAGTATATACAGAGTTAAAAAATAAATCCAAGTCCTTTCCTCAAAAACACATTCTACCTTGAGACTTAGCTATGGCAAAGGTAGTGATGTGTGTCTTACTGGATCTGTCCATGCCAGCACTCTAATTCTGAGCACTACAGAGATGGAGGCAGAACTTGTTGTAGGAAGCTGTCCTGTGTACTGTAGGATGTTTTTTGGCATCCAAGGCCTCTATCCACTATATGCCAGTAAACATCCACCTTTCTCCATCAAAAATGTGGAAGACATTGCCAATGTTCCCTGAGGGATGGGGTGCAAAACTGTCCCTGGCATTTAAATACATGGAATATACAGGTATATCATTTTTAAAAACTGCTGCATCAAACACCACATGGATATACAGTATTATGTACCACTCCTCTATCTAGGTGTCTGCACTGTTTCCTGTTTTTAATCTTATGAGCAATACCACAATAAAAAATTTTGTGTGAGTGTCTTAGGCATATGTACATCTACATATCTCTGTGAAAGACACCAAGAAGTACAGTTGTTGGATTAAATATCATGTGCGGTAAAAAAATTTACAAACTCTGCTGAATCATTTTCCCTGCAGCCTATTTGAAATACTGAAACCAACAGCCTGGAGTGGATTTCTTCCCAACCTTCAGCTCATTTAATACTGAATATTGTCACTTGAAATTTTTGTCAGCATTAGCTGGGCATGGTGGTACATGCCTGTCTTCTCAGTCATCTCAAATACTTGGAAGGCTGAGATTGGGAGGACAGTGGTTCTAGGTCAGTCTGGGCATAAAAGTTCATGAGACCCCCATCTCAACAGAAAAAGCTGGGCCCATCATCTCAGCTATTGTGGGAAGCATAAAATAGGAGAATCCCAGTTCAGGTCAACCCAGGCATAAATGGGAGATCAACTCAAAGATAACCAGAGCAAAAAGGGCTGAGGGGCCATGATTCAGGCAGCAGAGCTCCTGCCTAGCACAAAGCATTGAGTTTAAACCCCAGCAACCACAAAAAAAAAAAAAAAAAAAAGTCAGCCTTATAGTTAAAAATTAAGCGATAACTCAATTGTTTTGTGTTTCCAAGATTGCCAGTGATGATGAAAAGTTTTTAAACTTTAATGAGCTATCAACTAAGTTATGTGAATTGCCTGCTTGTATCATTTGTCTTTTGGGGTATCTGCCTTATGATTTGTAGGAGCTCTTCATATAGACTGGACAGCAATCTATATAATGCTACAAATTTTTTTTCCAGATTGTTATTTGAGATGTTGATCTTGTTTTAGCACATGAAATTTTATACTGGAATATAATAAACTTTGTCTATGTTCCTTTTTATGGCTTCTGGGTTTTCTCTCTTTTAAAGAGCACTGCCCACTCCCAAATAAAAATAGTTTCTATATTTGCTTTTAATATACATTGTAGGTTTTATAATTCTAATACATTGTAGGTTTATATGTCTCTATCTGTAATTTGTCGTTAAGCACAATGTAAAATAACTTGAATGTCAAACGAACAGTCAAGTACTCAACATGATTTCACAAATAATCTATTATTTATTCACTGAGGGAAATCAATACTGAAATTATTAATACTTAACAAGTATTTATCTAGTGCTGCTACATGCTGAGCTCTGCTCCAGTGCTGGGGACACTATTGAATGAGACAGACATAATAAATAAGTGAAAAAAAGAAATTTTGGAGAATGGTAAGTGCTGAGAAAAACAAAACAAAAGCAAAAACCCCAAACCCACAGAATGGAGTGATGTGGAAGCAGCAATGTTCTGGTGGATGTTTCACAACTGTTTACATCATTTGCCATTGCAAATACTCCATTATACCCCTTTTCTAGCAGCCAAACCATTTCATCAGGTTTGCAAAATTTCCTGACAATTTAACAATTGGCATGGAAACAAGCTTGCTCCTGTTCTTCAGTGTGATATGGCCAGGGGCTAAGTCTGGGTGGGCACTCAGGAGGGCCTGAGGAGATAAGGTCCTGCAGATTCTCCTACAAGCCATGGAGACACCATGGAGATGCAAAGGATTAAGCACGACGCTGTTTTAGGACAATTAGTCATCAGTACTCTTGGGTCAGCAGGGAGACCCTTAGAGCTCATCAGATCACATCACCTAAGGGTGCAGGCTTACATGTATTTAACATACTTTAATAAATGAAGTCTTCCTTAATCACTAGACTCAGTGCTCAATGAATCTTATGAAGGCATAGTTGTAGACTTAAGGATGTGGTTTAGAGATAGAGCACTTGCTTACCATGCACAAGGCACTCCAGCTCAACAACAACAAAAATACCAAAACTAAACAAAGGTATAGCCCTGGTTACGTCTGAATGCTTCCACCTAAATAGTGGAACCGCACATTATCAAAAAGCAGGAAAGAATAGTAGGATCTCTGTCTGTTTGGGATTTATTTAATGACCTAAAACTAGGAAAGACACAGTTCAGTGAACACATTTTTCTGGACTGAAAACGGCACAGATCCTAAGCAACAAAGAGCCAGGATGACTCTAGCAGGGGAGGCCATGCTGCAGCCCCTGGCTCCAGACATACACTTACCTAGCGATACCTTCCTTGGTGTAGAACACAGAGTAGGTGAGGTTGTCGCCATGAGGATCTGACGCAGGTGTCCGCCATGTCAATTTGATGAAGCGAGTAGACACCAGGGAGGCCACGACATCCCGAGGAGCTGAAGGCAGTGGTCCTGTTGTGGCTGGTGCTAGATGGTCAGTAGTGGCACTGGTCAGTGAAGTGGGAGGTAATGTTGGGATGGCAACATCTTGTCATGTGCAAACATTGGGGAATATGAAGGGCAAACCACGACGGTTTTAAAAAAGAGAACAGAAAAAACAAAAACAAAATAAACAAAACCACGATGGGAAATAAAATAAAATGAGTGAACATAAAAAAGGCCATTAAACTGAAGGCTAACATGCAGGCCTGGGGCAACCACTGAAAACTAATGGGCACTACTCAAGACACATCACTGGGGAGCAAGCAGACTTTCTGGTCACTATTATTGTTGTGGGTAAGGGACAGGGAGGGTGACAGCTAAAAATAACACATCTCACAGAAGGACATAGCCATGCCCAGATAATTCTCTTAATACTGGAAGTACCATGCAACATCTGCTAAACTTTGCATGTAAGACTCTTATTAATATGACAGACATCAGTACTGCCAAGATATGGAATGTATATAGTATGGACAAACCTAGTTGCAGTGCCTGTAGGATGGCTAAGCCTAGTCACGTTCCACAGTGGCCCCGAGGAAAGCTCTGGAAGGTCATTCCACTGCAGAACTGCGAATCAAGTCTCCATCTTTAGTCTAATGTTGAACTCTGCTCTCTATATTAGTCATACCTAGGCAACTGACAACTTCCCTAATTTTGCTAAGTTATACTTCATCTGCCATCACATCAATTCATGTAACCATGATAGTATAAAATCCCAAATCAAAAATTATAAAGTCACAAAAATATAATAGGTAGCTTAGAAATATTTGTTCCTCCTCACTACGGTGTACACCAACACCAAGGACTGGATAGGAGTGATGAAGCAGTGGACTGGTCACAGCCACCGTCTGTGTTCCTGCAGCCCTGGGTAATTTTGCCTCCCAAGGCAGCCTGTTCTACTGTCGAACAGTTCTATTTTAGAAATTCATTCCTAGTACTGAACCTAAAATCTTCACTTTAGAGTCAGAAACCACAAGTTTACTCTCACATTTTTTTTTTTTCTTTTGAGACAGGGTTTCACTACATAGCCCAGGCTGGCCTTGAAGTTATAAACCTGCTGCCTCCACTTCTGGAGTGCTGTGATTATATGTGTGCACTACCATACCCAGCTAATCTCACATTTTTTAATTAGAAGGGTTCACTAATTAGAATTGTGTCAAAGGGCCAGGGGTGTGGCTCAGTAGTATAGTGCTTGCCTAATATCCATGAAGTCCTGGGTTTGATCCCCTTTTTACTGAAGGGAAAAAAAAAAGTCCTTAAACTTAGGGAAATTAGTAGAAAACAGGCAAAGAGGAAAACATGAAATTTGCATACTCATTTTGTTTTGTCCTTTTTGGAGGGGCAGTACCTGGAGACTGACACAGAGCCTCAAAAATGATAGCCATCTGCTCTACCACTGAGCTACACCCCCAGCCCACAGATCTAGTTTTGAATTCAATGGTAGGGCAATAATGTCCTGGAAACATCTGTGAACAGCAGAAGTCTAAAGTGAAGCATATAAATAAATATGCCAGATGAAATGGGTTCTGTAAAGGAAACAGTGGAGGAGGGCCAATTTGGGATTCCTGGATACACGGGGAAGGAGAAGGGAATCCAACAGCTACCACTGACTGAGCACTTTCCACATAGCACTCTCTATTTACACGGAGCATTCAATGCATATGACTCCATGAAATGGTATTATCATCACATCTCTGTCTTAGAGGGCTAAAATCACTTGGTCATGGTAAGTAGTGGAGTGGTAAAACCAGCTTTGGTTTTTAGTCTAAGAGGCCTCTGCATTTAGCCAATAGGAGGAGGTGGGGAACGTGACTTCCAGTCTGGATGAGCCGAGCCACTTACTGCTGTATCACCTTGGGCAAATCACTTACTCTCTGTCACTTTCTCCTTTTACCCTACTTCCATGGAACAGGATAATCTATTAAAGTGTAAGATTATTAAGTTTTTCTTCAGGTGGAAGCACACACTTTACTGGAAAAAGTGTCGATGTAAGAAAGTCAAGTCTGAATGGCTGAGGACACAATTCTTGCCCTGAATACACGGATAGACAGGTTGTCTCAGAGGAAATAAATGCCTCTCATTCAAAGCTTTCTGAGCTGTTTTTTAAAGTATGTTAGTTCATTCACACAGCAGTCCTGTGGGTAGAAATAACAGCATCAGGAAGAAGTCAAGCACATCCAGGTTTCTGGCATGGCAGACTGGGCAGCTGGAGGTATCATTAATGAAGAAAAGGAAACGTTAGAAAGAGACAACACACTGCAGAGGAGATGATGAATCTAGTTTTGAACATACTAATTTAACAACTCAACACCTACACAAGAAATTTATAAAATCAACTGAGCTATGGATCTGATTAGTATAAAATTAAAAATCATTAAAAACCCCTACGGAGATCAAAGAGTGGCCTAAATACAGTTGCTTTGCTGCCATATTTCTGTGCCTGTCTAGGAACATACTAAGCTTCCTTCAAGTCTGACCTGACTTTCTAAGCCTAATTTTCTATCTACTGGCTTGAGAGGAGAGAAAGTCTGTCAGATCAGAGGCAGGAGAGCCTACTTTGGAAAGACCCAGCATTGATTACAAAGACCCATGTCCTAATAATGTGAGGGTGGGTAAGTCAGCCTGTCTGATATCTGTTTCCTTATCTACAGATTGGGAGCAGGAATGCTCTCTACCTGTGTCCCAGGCTGATATGAACCAGACATGTGCCAAACGAGAAAGTGCATGTGGAAGCACTATGTCTAAGTTAATTACTACCATAACTAGTTCTAAAAGGGTATCAGGCCAAGTATGTAAGTACAAAGGTAGCTAGGGAGGGGGTGTGTGAGCAGGACAGGTAAAGGGAACAATGGATCGTAACAGATCACTCAAAGTGGGGTAATTCAACTTTCCTCCTCACCTTCTATAGCACAGACCCATTCTGCATCAACAGCACCCAGCCCGCCCTTGCTATTCCCACTGTTGGTGTTCACGTTGGGTCCCTCACACTAACCCACAAGCTTCTCAAGGACAAGACCTACATTGCTTTATCTCAAAGTCCTTCACTGTGCCTCTGTCTACTTTAGATAACCAGTAAGTGTCTATTTTCTGAGTTAATAAATGAAAGAAAATTCAGGAAGAAAGTTAAGTCAACTGAGACCAATGTTTCTAGACTCTCACTACACATTTTAATCCTTTTAGCTAATAAACTATATAAAATAATCTTTATATAAATTAAGATTTACATAAAATCATTTATGCCATTTGTAAAACAAACATATTTTACCTGTTATACAGGCCAGCTTATTGTAATACTATAAATAATTCCTAATTAACCACGGGAAAAAAATCCATGTCTTATAGTCCCAGTGTTCTTTTCCCAGATGTGACCACAGAGAAGTAGGTAGGCAGTTAAGTTACATCAGAATCCATGGCAAGATGATATACTCTGGGACTTTGGACTTGTGGCATAATGGTCTGAGGAGGCTGACAAATTCTCATCCCCCAAAGCAACTACAAAGACAGGCAAAACTGTAAAAGACTAGAAACTGAGCAAAGGCACACAATAGGCTGAGCAGCACTCACTCATGAACCTACCACACTTCAGGTAAACACAGTGCTGCAGAACTGCCCAAGCACTGCTGGAGTAATTGTTTAGCCATCTGTAGCAGGCGCTGAAAATCAGTGCTTTTGAAACTGTTAGCAGAGGGGGCTCATGTGATGTACGGGAAGGTCCAGTGCTCCCCTCGCCTCAAGTTGTGACCTTTGTAGGGGTAAGCAACAGACAGTAGACAAGCATGGAACAAAGTGTTCCATGAATAAGAAAGTGATAAAAGAGGCTTAATGAGCTCTCCGTCATACCTCAGGTTGACTGGAAGACAGGTGTATGTGCTCCAAAGATGGCAGCAGACCCAAGCTACCCACACCCACATATCCCTTGCCAACGTAGAAGACAAGCAAGTGTGCCAGGCAGAAAGCAAAAGCTGAGCCACATGAGTTTGAATGTACTCCTCAAGTCACACAAAGATCCACTAAGTCAGAGCAGTAGGCTTACTGACTTGAAATATTTGAGCACAATTTCTGAACAATCTTTGGTTGAGCAATAATTAATATAGACACAGAGGTGTCAGGCATGGTGGCAAAACCTATAATCCCAATACTTGGGAGGTGGAGGCTGAGGCAGGAGGATCATGAGTTAAAGGCCAACCTGGGCTACACAGCGAGCTCTACTTTTTATTAACAGACAGACAAAGGAATTATTCCTAGAAAACAAAATCTACCTAGATACAGATGCTTAGAGAACAAAAATGAGAAAATAAAAAACAAACACTAAGATGAAACAAAAGTGACTGTACACTCTGGGAGAGACCGATTTAGTTTAGGCAAGTTACTAAGCAGCACAACAACTGCTAGAGGAGTAGGGGGAAGAGTCAGGATCCATAGATGCTATGTGTTGTACAAAATATCTAATATTCAACAGAAAATGAAGAAACATGAAACCAAACAAGAAAGTATGACTCATAGTCAATACAAAATGTCTTAGAAGGCCTATAGATACTGGATTTAATAAAGACTTCAATGCAGCTATTAAAATATATTCTAAGAACTAATGAAACCTCAGGAACTATATGCAGAGCCTGAGTTTACCTTATTTATAAGCCAACATGTTAACCTATAACCATTTCACGGGTGCTGGCAGAAGACAAGCGCTACATCAGAGACAAAACTTTTATCAACAGGGATGGCAGCAACCCGAGAGCCTTGCTGGTCTGTCAGTTCCCCTGGACCCCCGACCCGAGGCAATGCCAAAGGCCCAGGACGAGGCCCGCACGTGCTATAATAAACCTAGTTTGTGACCCGAGAAGCTCTGAGCTTGAGATGTTTACCACTTTTGTAGAAGGGGAGTCAAGCCCTAGAGAAAGAGTGTATTTCCTGAGGATATCTAATTTAATTCTCCTGTGGTCAGAGAACATACTTTGTATGGTTTCATTCTTTCTAAGTTTATTGAGTCTTGTTCTGTGATCCAGCTTATCATCTATCTTGAGAGTGATCTGTGGGTGATGGAT